ATACACAAACTGCAGGTCAGAGTCTTCTCTTCCAGGCAGCGTCTGTCCACCTCTCCTCTTTGAGGCTGGTTTAAAAAAAGGCTCTAGGTTTTAAAAAAACACAGACAAATGTAATGAAGCATGGCTCTAGAGGTTAATGATAGGCACTTGGGGATAAAAGGGCGGGGAAATATTAGGCTTTGCATGTTTGCTCCAAGGAACATCTAACTTAAGCAACTTCTGAAATCAAGGATCAGAGCCTGCATGTTTCCAGCGTCGGAGGGCAACATCTTCTCATACATCCTCTTTCTGGCTCAGTGAATCATGCATTCTTTTTCTGGATAGTAACGCAGCTTCAGCCAGGAGAACTGAAGACAACACACGGCTTGGCAACTGGGAGATTCGCCAGGGGAAGTGGAAGATGTAGGTTGATCCCTCCAGGCAAAAAAGGAATCTGAAGCAGGGTCTACCACATTCTGAACAAATGCTTTAGCTAATAGTCGTTAAAAAGCAGCAGCAGCAGCACCTCCTCTTCCAACTGTCTTCTAAAGCTGTCGCTGTACTTTATAGAAGACTGATTCTGCAGCACACGCTGGCATGATTGGAGAATTCTCACCTGACTGAACTCCCCAGGAGACTACGGCAAAATAAAAACATCCAGAAAATAGACAATCATGAGCCAGGCGTCATGCTAACCATCTCTCAAATAAATGAGGGGGGAAAAAAAAAAAAAAAATCAGACATCCTAGGAACTTTAAAGCTATTAGCTATACCGCCTACAGTGCTTGGGCACCTTCTGAGCTTGATGATAAGAGACTGGAGGTTTTCAGGACCGCAGTTTTGACAGCAAGCACCTAAACCAGTTCTATTAAAGTATTTCTGTGAACTTACTGCTAACAGTTAGGGGAGAGGGGGATCAGAATCAAAGGTATAACCTCACGTCTAGATTGCACGGAGAACTTTCATGTCTTCCCAAACTCACTACTGAGAGACAATTAATACTAATCCTCAGAATACTTCTGCTGAGTGGACATTATATTGAAAATAGGCACACTTGCCAATTAATTCCAATTTAAGTTAGCTATCTACCCAGAGCTCATCTTTTTATGTAATGCCAGTTAGCAAGCTGCATAGCATTAAAAAGCTATTGATTATAACAAATGCACGCCTGACATCTATCAGCTTGCCTATTTATTTAATCATTACCATTTTTTCCCCCAATATATTACCGTTGATTTGATCTATGTATTCGATTTGCAGCATCCATTCTCCGGGCAGAATCCCACAGATATCCCCAAGCACGTGTTTGCTTTGGCACACTGTTTAAATAAACTTACTGGAAAACGCACAGAGATAACAGACAATAGAAGAGTCAGAAAACCATCTGCACGAATTATTTTAAATTAACGTGCAAGGTTTATCAGTTATCTACAGAGTTATCAACACATGCACAATATGGCAATTTCAACCTTATTCTATCATTCACATAAGAGCTTTCAACATTTGCTCTGCAAGTGCAGTTGATCCTTTGTATGAAGCATCACTACGCTACCTTCACAAGGACAACACTGCTGATCCGTATCCTTTACAAAAGATTAGGTACAGTACTTCCCAAATAACAAGAAGTAATTGAGCAACAACTCCTGCGTAACACTCCCTCAATTTTGCATATAATATTCAATCCCCTAACTTACACTACCGATTTAATAATGCAAAGGCTTTGGCTGAAAAGTCAACTTCAGGTTCATAAATACAAGTGGAAGGCATTTCCAGAGCACTGTCTCTGGACATCTTGAAATTTCTTGGCAAACAGCAATTGGGAAGGATATCTGACTATCCCCCCGCTCCAACCACTCTAAACAGCGTGGAATTTCTGTGCCACGATTTACAAACTGTTTTTTGTTATCCGTCTACTCCGTCCTACAATACAAAGGAGAACAAATGCCTTGTGAATTACATTTCACTTGCACTGCATCAGCACATTCAGGCACAGGCAATAGACTGAAGAAACTACCAGATGCAGACGTGAGGGTTCTGCACACAGCGCTCTGCCAAAAAAAAAAAAAAAAAAACCAAAAAAACAAACAAACAAACAAAAAAAACCCAAAAACATCGTAGATGCCTTACACAAACTCATCTGCAATTCGAAACTTGTCAAAAAAGACAAATATGAGAAGCGAGGCGCTGAAATCTGAAGAGTAAGTACACTTGGGAAGGCAGCATCAGTTTATCCAGGGGGGTACCCGTTCCCGAGAAGGGTGCGCGCAGACAGCAAGCACGGTTCGTCCCTCCCGGTGCTCGCTTGTTAAAGAACTGGACAAACGACCACCCGGCGGAGGGGGACCCGGCCCACGCGGGGCGGCGCGGGAAGGAGCACCTACCCCTTCCCAGCCGCCGCCTCCTCCTCCTCCTTTCTTCCCGCCTTTGCTCCCTGCGGAGCGGGGGCATCTCCCCCGGCCCGGCGGGAGACAAAAGGCAGGCGATGAGCCCCCGGCGGCCCGGGGCTGCCGGCGGAGCGGGGCGAGCGCCCGGAAATCCCACAATCCCCGCGGCCCCGGCGGGAAATCCTTCCTCCCCGCCCCCCCCCCCCCCCAGACACACACACACACCCCCCCGCCGCTCTCCCGGGAAACCCCGGCCCAAAGCCTCACACGTGTGGAGGGGGGAAGAAGGAGGAGGAGGAGGAAAGGGCCGGCTCCCGCCTCTGAGGGGGAGCAGGGGCCTCCCGCCGCCGCGCCTCACCTGCTTGCTCCTTACGTAGGGAGGCTTCACGGCGCCCAAGTGGTACCGCCGGGTCCGGATCTTGCCGCCGCCGCCGCCGCCGCCGCCCGAGGCCATGCTGGGATCCGGCCCCTCCGCTTTCCCCCTCCCCTCCCCCCCCCCCCACCGCTGCCCCCGGGTTTCCCCGGTCGCCTCGTGCGGCCGCGCTCCTTCCCCCGCCCCCCGCTGCGCTGTCACCGCCTGCCCCGGCTCGGCCTGCTCGCGCGCGCCCGCCACGCGCCGCGCCGCGCCGCGCGGCCTGGCGCGGGGGCTCCGCGCGGCCTGCCCCTCCCCTCCCCGCCGCGACCAACCTCCCCCCCGCACACACACACACACACACACACTCTATCCGCGCGCGCGCGCTCTTCTTTCACGGGCGCGCGCGCGCTGCTCTTCCCGCTCCCGCCTGCTCTGCGCGCTCCCGCCCTTTCCTCCCGCTCCCGGCTCGCGCTCCCCGGCGCCGGCCGGCCCCGCGCTGCCCGCCCGCTCGCGGCCAAGCCGCTGCACCCCTCCCCCCCCTTCCTCCCTCCTCCCCTCCCCAACCGACCAACCAACCAACGGCGGCGCAGCGCGTCACTTAACCGCGCGGGCTGCGTAACTAGAACGGGACCGCCCGGCAGCCCTCGCGCGCCCGGGCACCGCCCGCTCGCCGCTGCGGGGAGGGGGGGGGAGAAGCGGGTGGGGCCGCAACGCGGCGCGGCCGCGTGCTCGTTCCCCTCCCCCGCCCCGCGCTGAGGGCCGGGCCGGCTGCGCGGGAAAAGCCGTCGGTACCCGCCGGGGGCTGGGAGGTTGTGGGGCGGTGGGGACGCAGCCCGCCCCTCCCCGAGGGCCGTGTCCCTGCCGGGCTGCGGGAAAAGGTTGAAAAAGGGCCCGGGGGAGGAAGCGGGGGGGGCAGGCGGTGTCCCCTCGGGTTGGTGTGAGGGACGCCAGTGACCACCCGCGGGTTTAGCAGCGCTCGGTTGGGGCAGGCTGGAAGCGGGAGGGGTGGGTGGAAAGCTTCAACACAGCGTTTTCTTCCTCAAAACAAGAGGAAGAGGGCATTCCTATTAGAAATGTTTCAAGTATGGAAATATTTTCTACTGAAATTGAAAAAAATCTATGGCTCTACATCTGCCCTGGGAGTGATGGAGCCAAAAACCACAACCGTCTTCCCTGTGCAGAAGTCAATAAAAACATTCATCTTAAAAAAAAAAAAAAAACCCAAAAACAAAAACAAAAAAAAACCCACCAGAACTGTATTAAAAAATTACTGACATAGAGTGAAGCACAGGTATTTAACAGTGAAGGACAGACCCATGCTGTAGTGTGCACCCCTTCCACCAAAAATGAAAGGATTTGTCACCACACACACCTGAAGAAAGCATATTGAACTCGGGTGGGTTGGGGGAACTCAAACCAGCACGGGCAATGCTGATGGCCTGAAGGAACGTAAGCTAGCAGCAACAGCAGAGAAAGAACTGGTTTTAGGAGGAGCATTACTGGGGAGTTTGGTACTGCCCAGACTTTCATACAGGCTTTTTTAACCTCACTGGTATGTTCCCAGCTCTCCTACACAACTTGCTCCTCCACTTCTTAGTCCTGCTTTCACAGTTATCTAAAGGAGATAATTTCCCAAGTCCCAGCAGAGTGGAATTACTTTCCACGTGTGTCTCCTCAATAACTACAGCTTCAGAACTCCCGTGTCTCTTCCTCTCCTGCCCTACCACTGTAAATAATTTTACATGCTGTGGGATGACCTGCAGCTATAGATAATCCCTCCCAGGAGATGGAACACGTGAGTTTGGAAGTCACCTGTGAGACTCATGTGAACTGCTGGTGTTACAGCTGTGGACCACTTTCAGGATGAGGCTCTGTTTCTAGAATATGCTTGTCAAAAAAGACATCAATATAATAATCAAAATACAATAAAACCAGCATGTAAACCTGGATTTGCAACTCTTTTTGGCCAGAAAACAATTATCATGCTGAGTTCCATCTTAGGGGAGGGTAAGGAAGGGTATCACAATGTGTTTCAGTTATGGAAAGAGCAAGATTTATAAAGGGATATAAGCTGTGCCCTTTGGTAATTCACCAGTAATAATGCCAACTTCTAAAAGGGTACCTGTGTGGGGAACTGACTAAAATCACTCCTGTGCTGGACACGTAAGAGCTGGGCAAATTTCAAACAAGATTCCCTCTTTCTGGTGCATGTTCAGTGTATTAAGGTAACCTGTAAACACGATTTTCTCTTCCACGTATGTGTCAAAGGCAGCTACACTAAGTTTGCTCTGTAAATTCAAGTGCTGCTTTATTTACTTACTTATTTAGAACAATTTCCATATGGTGACATGCCTTTAATGACACTCATGACTCAGAAATACTTGTTGATGTAGTCAAACAATATCTATTGACATGAGTCACTGAAGTTAAATAAATGTTATTAAAAATGAGACAAAACAAAAGGCAAATATATATATATCCAGCAGAATGATAGGGATCATCACCATTTGATCAATCTTCCCTGTGAGTTATATCTGCAAGTTACTTTGAGGTAGCGCTAGAAAGAAGCTGTTGGTCCAAGAGCATCCCTGCAAAAAGAAACATTCACGGCTTAAGTACCATTTAACCTTTTTGTACCCTTCTAAGTACTCTCTACCCTTTCTGGCCTGTTTCCTTCTTCCCTGTTCACTGACTGCAGGAGTAGTAGCCCCTCAAACCATCGTACTAAAGCCTTTCTGTTCAGAGAAGTGACAGAAAACAAAAACACTACTCGAAGAAATTAGCAGGTTTTGAGTAAAGGCACTATCTATTGCAGCTAGGTGCAATAAAGAGTTTATAAAAACAATACTAGATATTCTTGCAAAAAAAGAAAAAAAAAAACCTTCATCAAGCTTAGGCAAAAGAAAAAAAAAAAACACCACATTTTAGCTGGGTAAACCAGACACAAAACACAACTGGAAGAAGTGAAATAGCGTGGTGTTGAGAAAGTTGCTCCTAAGACTTTTTTTTTTTAAATGCTCCCAGTGCAATCAGATCTTTGTAGAACTGATGGCAGGCACCTCTACAATATGTTCAGATCTTTGTGTAAACTAGCCAACACAGGCAACTAGAACACCTGTAAGTTTACTCAGTAAAATGTCTAGGCAATGCCTTCTGACAGTTCTGATGCACTCACTTTTTCCTGTATTTGGGGTTCATGGGTAGCACACTGATACAGGAAGAAGTTTCACACTCAGTGTGCCTTTACAGTAAAGAACGTGCACTGCGCACACAATCTTGATCCCATGTTTGCACTCCAAACTGGAAAGAGGAGTAGGCTAGTAAGGCTCAGGAGACAGAAAAAGAGGTCAGAGCACTATTTCAGAACAGTATCACATGAGCTGCTCCCAACAGACTCTCTTCCTCACCTCATTTCTCTTGTACGTTGGCTGGAGGTACATACACCCCCAACATTTCTTAAGTTTAGGGAACTGATGGCCCAACCAACCTCTTTCACTGAATTATATAAACAGTATTTTCACTCTGTGGGTACTTTACAGTCCAGCGCAGAAGGCGCATGCATGTCTGAAAACAGTCTCTAATGCAAATTGTAGAGACCTTGTTAACAGGCAAAATCTGCATAAATGGAGTGGCTACAGACTGTGCCTTTAGAGGTTTATGTACTGTGGCAATACAGTGTCAGACTTAGTGAAATCACAGAGCTACGTGGGCCCCTCGTTACACAGCTCACACGTAGATCAACCTCCCAAATGCCACAAATCAGCACAGATGCTCCCTAACATTTCTGCTGAGCCAAACACACATCCTTAGCATCACATTTTTAACTGATAACACAATAAAAGGATCTACAAATTACTTGCTGCAGCTTAAGCACAGTGTTAAGTGATGCTACGCAAGCCACTCCAAAGAAGGATATAACTCAGGCACAGACCTGGAAGCTGTCTTGCCGATCATTAGATACAGAAATCCTTTGCTTCACAGACCAGTTTGTACTGCCAAGCTCAGGCATCACAGCTATGCACTGCAACTGAAGTGGCATACAAATCCTGGGAGCTTTTGAAGCTTTAACATTCCCAAACTCAAGGGGCCTGCATCTACTATCTTGAGTTTCCTCCCTACCGCAGTCCCCTGAAACAATTTTATACATTCACACATGCACCTCCTTTCCCACCCAGATTCTTTGCTTCATTTATTCCACTTCCTGCCACATTCCTGTAACAACCTCCCTACCATCACCCTCCAAAGACTCACCAGTTCACACAAGGAAAACGTTCACCCATGAAACCTGTTCCCAGATACATTGCAACTAGCTCTCCCCAAAGCAGGGAAACAGTGGCTAAAACTGTGATACTACTCCCCCTGCCTAGACGAGGTTTTTTTGCTTTGTCTCTTCCTACATGTACATCTGCACATATAGGTTATGTCCACCACTTTCACTACATTAAGTCATAAGAAGGCCAGAGAAGCTTATTCTCATCTGCCATCACAGCAATTATGGTTTAGATTGCCCCCAAAATACACATGGCAGTACAAAAGTGTCTTGACTAGCTTTAGTAGCTTCCACAGCCATCAGCTATGATAATATCTGCTACCTTTTTTCTTGGAAGAGTATTCTTATTTTATCATTATGTACATTAATTAGTCAATACTTTTGCATAAGTAGTCCTTATGACTGGAAAATAGTTCCTGTCTTTCAAGATGAAAACAGTTTAGAGGAAGCCACTCGGAAGTTGCTAGCTTAAAGCAGAACTTTCCTCATTGCTGTCTCCCCTAACCTCCTTGACTACTAAAAACTCATCCTACTAAAATTTTATAGCCTTGACACTACAAAACACCTGAGCATGAACACTGAACAAATTAGAGATGTTTAAGACAGGCTGCAACATGGTTGAAGAGTTGTTACTTGGATTTTTTTTTTTTATTCCAAATGGGTTATTTTTCTTCTTTTAAACCAGAAAGTTATTTTCAGGTTTAAGAACATGTATTACATTACACCAGTTTCTTTGCTGTAAAGTGTCAGTTGAGAAGACTAACAATACAAAGAACAGGAATAGAATTGTCAGTAGGGATCATCCTTAGTCTTTGGAATGTTTGCAGCTATGGCAGCTGGAAGTTTGCCCTTCTATTTAAAATACTGTACTGATAAAGCAATTCTAACTGACCTAGCAGATGAACAGTAGTACACTTAGCGCCAGCAGGCTGCAAGAGAAAGAGTGGGCCCAAGCCTTCCCATAGCAAACCCTGGGAGTGTCTCTCAAATACACACATAACCTAAGCAAGCATGTTAAGAGCTTGTAAAAGATTGCCTAGGTAACCTGGAAATATGGGAGCGTTAGCTTTTGCTCGTGTCTTGATGCCCATACCAAAACAAGGACAGGTGAAATACCCCTACTGCCTCCAGCTAAATTCCACAAGCCAGAAGAGAATATGCTTCATGTATGTAAGTAAAATCCCTTGCTGGCAGGTTTGCAGAAACAAAATTTTATTTACACAGGCAAGTCTATCTTTAGACCCCATTGAACTCTTTACATTTCTAGAATATTTACATGATTTCAAGATGCTCCAAGTTGAGTGATGAACAAAAAAAAAAATTACAGAAACTGTCAAAAGCATAGCAAAAAAAAAACCAACCTATCATTGTGCTTTAAAACTTATGATCTAGAGTAATGTAGAAGAAATGTAATTTTAGCACCTTGGTCATAACGGTCATGCTATATAAGACACTTAAATAGCTGAGGGGATGTCAGAAGTGACCGTATCCAGAGGTTGCCAGTGACAATTCATGAGGGAATCGTAGAGTTCTTCACTTGTCTCCATAAATTGTCTGTTCATTTCATCAACATCCAAGTAAAGCTGTGGATCTGAAAATAGAAGCCCGGTAAGTAGAAGTGTCAGATCTTCGGAGGCATGCACACAAAAACATTAAATAAATGCCTAATAAAATGTTTTAGCTAAATGTAATTAATAATAGGTTTAGTAGTAAATGTAGCAAGATGTTTATTCACCAAGAATTTTAACCTGACAAATCCAGCTCATTTTGGAATTTGTATCAAAATGCTAGGACTATACTAGTGTTTCAAGGTAAAGAGCAGATTTAAGGATGATTAACCATTTAATTCTCCCCAAATCCATTTAATTCATTTGTACTAGAATAGGTGCTAGGCAGAATAAAGTTTCTGAACACTAAACACGATGTTTCTACATGAAGAGCTGTCTGCAAACCTTCCAGGCCAAACAATTAAGTTTTGTACCAGAACTTTAAGTGCCAGTTGAATCCTCCTCTTAGGACCCACAATGCAAGATTTTACCTCCAGATTTGGGAAACAAAGCTTTTTGCCTATTAACAAGTTTAAAATAGAATATGCTTAGCAGAATCAACACAAAGATAGGACGAATTCTGTATTAATCCATTTTGAAAGGAGAATGAAGGCAAACTTACAAGAAACCTGTTGTGAAGTGTTGTTGCCAGTATCCCATGCTACTTGACATGGTGCACACAATCACCTTTAAAATCCTACCTCATCTCAGCTACAACCCAGAGTATCCCACTACATCAGCTGAATTTGCAAGACATTCTTCATCCAAGAGTCATTCATTTGTATTATTAAAGGGCACAAATATTGCTAAATTCAAGTTGCAGTGATAGATACATCATTACCTTCAGTTATTAGATCATCATTGATTTCAGTCATAGCTGAAGTTTCCTAAAAAAAAGAAAATAAGAAAAATCTTGTAAATTTAATCATAATCCATTCTGGTAAGCATCACAAATCCAAAATAATTTTGTACTCGCTACCCATTCCCTCTTCCCACAATTACAATAAGCTAGGATAGTGGTGGTATTTGTTGCAGAGGGGTTTTGTTTGGGTTTGGTGCTTTTTTTTTTTGTTCTTTTTTTTCCTCGATTTAGGGGTGGGCTTGGATTTTAGGGGGGGGCTGGGAGTCTTCGTGGATTTTTTTTTTTTTTTTTGAAGAAAACGGTAGTATAGTTGAGGTTGGAAGGGACTTCTAGAAGTTTTAACTAATAAATTGGCTGATCTAAGATAGGACCACCTTACAATAATTCTTTAATTTGCTTTAAGCAAAGTACATCAGAAAAACAGGAAGAGAGGAAGCCTATACAACTACGCTGTCAGAACTGTTATTTGGCATACATGAACAAGTAAGAGTATATAAATCTCAAATTCTACAGAGCCACTAAAGTACTTAAACCTACCTCTGAATGAAGCCTTCTATTCTAACCTCTACACTAAACAGAAAGCATGATTTCAGTTTCAGGACTTCTTTGTTCCTACTTCCACAATTCATACAACTTATTATTTGTGATTTTTTTTTTTTTTTCTTTAGAGCAAGGATGTCGTATTTTTACCTCAAAAACAGCTGGAGCCATAACTGCATCTCCTAAAGAGCAATCTCCAACAGTTTGCATGCTATCATAGGGAGCATAAGAGCTGTAGTTGTAGTCAGCATAAGGATCATAACCCCACTGTGAGTAGTAGTTCTGATAATCTTGGTAATAATCATTATAGTTGTACGACTGGTACCGCTGGAATTCTGCTTTCAGTCTGAAACATGAGAAGTTATATAGTTAGAGAACAGTGAACTGTAAATCCAGTTCTGAAGTTAAACAATTTGCCAGCTTACACATCAAAGTTTAAAAGGAAGCTTTCCTGAATGGTTGCCTAAACAACAGTCTAGGTCACAGCACAAGAGCTCATGTTTATATAGAAGCAAATGCTCTCACCTTCACCAGTACCAAAAGTATTTTTTTTTCATGGATTAACCTGAACCATGACACTTATCTGTATTCAAGTATTTTTAGCATCTATATATGCAAGCTGCTGCTAAAGACTGATTTATTAAGACCAGAGACATTTATCAAGCACAGCTGCTTTAAAGACGCATTCAGTCTTAATTAGCCCTTCTATCTTTTAGTTCAGTTAATACTAAACCTTATTATCACTCCATTGTTTCTGGGAATAATCTGTTTCACAGGAGCATCTGACACTGCCTGCCACTTCACTAGGTCTACCTCCACCTGCGCCATTTTTAGTCCATGAACAGTTGCCAAAGCGTAGCTGTTAGGGGAAGTCAGCACTGCCATTATCCTGTATGAAGCCAAAGCAGCAGGAAAATGACAAAACTCATTGGTTCTTAAAACCAAAGGGCCAGAGCTGGCTAGTGGTCACTACCTTCCCTCTCCTAAGTAGATTTCCTCAGGGACAACTTCACACTAATGACAGGAATCAACGCACAACTGTCATCTGTACCAAAACAGAGGTACAAACCCAGTGGTATACTACATGAAGTACACTCAGATAACTCAGCTGCAATTCCAAAAAGTCCTCTATGCTCAGATATTTCTTCATCGATTTATGTACAGGCAGATCCCATGCTTGCAGAGTCCAATGACTCTGCACCTCCACATCATTACAGAAAAGTCAGACCTAGACTCTGTCAAGAATGCAAAAGGAGCTCAGAAAGAACAAATTTCCAATGTAAGTGACTCAGTGACAAACTACTGATGGCTGGATATTCTGATGCTGGGAGAGCACAGTACTCAGCCATTCAAAACCAGGTATAGATTAGTGATGTATATTTTAATACCTACATTACATTTGTTTCATCACTCTAAAGCTACACATACATTCTAAAAAATATTCAGTCTACCATCTTGTTACTGTAGTACACAAATGACTACATCATGTCTCAAAGCCTTCTGCTTCCAACTTCTCTCCTACATACATCTCTAGGAAAGAAAAATCTGAAAATACTGCTGATGTTCTTCTGGATAGCAGAAGTGAGGAAACCTGTTTCTTTGCAACCTCTTCCTGTTTTCAAAATAACTTAGAGCAATTCTGGACAGCGCTCTCTTGGGTAAGAGCATTCCCGTTCTAGAACAAAGCGGCAACATTTGCAGAATTATCCAGGGTAAAGAAAAACAAAAGTTGTTACTTTTTTGTTTAACAGAACATACAAGGTAACTCAATGAATATACTGAAATTGTTTTCTATAAATCTGGTTTTTGGCTGTATCCTGGATCAAAGTTTATCAAATTTGGTATCGATTCTCAAACCACTCAGACTTTAATTGCTTTAAATAACTGAGAACTGAGCTCGCAGAGTAAAAAACCCTCTCGGAACCACTCAACTTTAAATTCCCTGCTGCCCCAATCGTTTGAAAAACAAAGATTAGCATCCTAAACAAACTGTTCCAGCAACATCTCCTTTGGCTTCTCCCCCCTATAGTGTTTATTTTTCCACTTAAGAGTTCCTTCCTCTGCCAGTCTACTGTAAAACTAGCAACATGCTACCTTGCTTTCTTTGAGGCAAAGGTTGAAAAAAGCTCCCTAGCATACAAAACCACTTGTCCCTTCTACCTTTTTCAGGCCCAAACCTGGAGAATATTTATGAATGCGCTCAGCTTTGCTACTGTAAGAATTAAGGCTGGTTACAACAGCAGCTAAACCCAAATTACACAATCTGGCTAGATTTAAGAGTTGGATTCCCCCAGCAATCCTAAGAGGTTGATGAATCCAGGGAGTCAAAACATAATGCTTCTGCGTTTTTGGCTTTGTAGACTGCATCATGTGTACAGCCATTATAGCAAGGGCCACAGACTTTACCAAGGCAGAGCTACAAGAATCTGATTATTTAGAATTACTGTATCAATGCACAACTCATTTGTTACCTTTTAGAAATTCCTATGCTCAGCCGGATTCGTTTTCCCCCCAGACCTGGTGCATTCTGGCAGTCTTGCAGTGCCCTCATCTGATCACCTTGCTCACCAAATCTGACAAAGGCATACCCTCTACAATTTTCAAAAGGGAGAAAACAAATTCTAGTATGCATAACAGTTACAAAGCTAATTAATTCAATTTCTCTGTTCTACAAAAACAGAAGATAGTATCTACTGTAGCTTATTACCTAAGCAACCTCTCTGGCATATGCACATGCACAGAAGATGCTTTCAATGAATTAAAAACTTGGGCCAGAAGCAAAAAGCTTGTTCTTTGATAGCATTAAGATGCAACTTGCTGAGAGCCAGTGAAACAATACATTTTAATTACTACCTGTGCAAGTGATCAGATTCCATACTTCTGCATTTATAGCAGTTCATTTATCAGTTAGTATTAACCCACTCCTACCACTGTAAAGCACTAGCATTCTTTTTACACTTGCTTTCTCTTAAGCTTCTTGAATTAGACTATTACAGCCAGCATTGTCTGAACAGCGAACTCACTCATCCCTGGCTTGACTCACTGCCTGGCCAGTGTAACTTCTGCTAGGCTTTATTTACTAATATTAAATAGGTTCAGTCTCCCAACCCCCTAAGATTTGCCAGGCCTTACAGTTTTCTCCCCACGTAAAAAAGGGAAGTCTTCAGTACTGCAGATGACTAAGTGGACACGCTGCTGTATGTAAGCACAGCAGAGATTTAAACGCACAGCTCTCTATTCTCTCACCATCTAATTTCTTTAATGCAGATATGCATATGGCTAAACTGAAGGTTATCACGTTAACTGCTTAAACTAACCAGAGTTTTCAAAATGTAAGCACATGTGCTGTTAAAAAAAAAAAAAGTAATTCTAATCTCTCTTCCTGCCTCTGAAGAAAATGTATGAAGTTTCAACACAAGTTCTTACGTATTACTAACAGAAGCAAACATATTGACAGCATTACAAATTTTCACAGACATTACCTGGAATATCCCAGCAGGTCTGTTGCTATTTTGCAGTCAATACAAGAGGGGTACCTCTTTAGGAAATAGTCATAGAGCTGGAAATCATCCACTTCTGGAGTAAGCTCCCCAACAAATATTGAATAATCTGGTCTTAAAAAAAAATGAAAGAGAACAATTATCAAGCTTTAGACTAAGGTAACTGATTGCAGTATTAAGATACTTAACATATAAGCAGGTAGTTATCACTGGACAAATAGGAGACAAAATCTGAGAAGAGTATTATCTGCAGAACTCTGCTGAGTAACATACGGAACTGCAATGCCATCACTCCAGCATAAAGTTCTCAATTTCTCTGGGTCCATTCTACCACTTTTGCAATTAAAAAAAAAAAAAAAAAGGCATTTCAATGAACACCCGATTTATAAAACACTTTTAAAAGTTGGTTTTAAAAAGAAATATTTATTGTCCAGGGAAGGGGGGGGGGGGGGGGGAGGGGCAGGGAAGAGGCAGAAGAAGGATGCACAAAAATACTATGAAAAAATAGCCATGATTCAAAAGAGATATGACTCTATCACCACTTCTTGGTGATCATGGGAGAGACAAACTACCAAAAACCTTCATTGTTTAATTGTCAATGCACTTCCGTAAGCAATACTTAGTACATAGGCACCAGATGTGCCATTTCAGCGTTTTAAGAGTAAGTGATGGCATTCCCTGATCAATTAAAACAAGATAAGGGGTCAGAGCTTCTCCTTTCAAAAGGTCTTTACCTGGCAGAACTACTACTAGGGACAAACTCTATTCTTCCTGGTTTTATTTTGTTCTTTTTCTTCCGTTTCTTCTGTGGTGTTCTCCACCAGCTGTAGGCCTGAAGACATTCTCTTTTTTTCGCCATCAAGTCCTGTTGGGAGAAAAAAAATCACCTTTATAGTATATAGCCTCGTTTACATTCCTCCCTCCCACTCCCCATCACCACAGGTGATTTCCCCATATTCACCTTGCCCTTGAAAGAAGCCTGGGGTCCCATTTCTCCCTCCGCCTCCCATGAGGGAAAGCAGCCTCTGGGGAAAACGCCTGGCAAAAATAACAGAGCCAAAGGATTGTATGAACAGCCATATTCCCCTGACTTGTCAAGCTGGCTAAAGGATCGACAGCTTCCTCTGGGAATTAGGGAAAAAGTAGACAGCCCTTCGATGTTGGCCAATCCTAAGTGTTAATTAGCTTCAGGACTGGACTGTGTTTCACTTGAGCTCCAGGACCCAAAAAACCCTGCGGCAGCAGCCTGAGCGATGAAGAGGCAGGGAAATCATCACTCTTGCCTAGAAGGGATCTCAGCTGTCCCTATCTCCCCTCACCTAGGAATTCTTCTTCTCTTAAGTGAGATGCCTCTCCTCACTACCCAGCTGTGAGTTACTCTCCCAGGCCAGGAACAACAACAGGAGGCCGATTAATGGAACGTAAGGAGAAAGCAGACCAGGAACAGGCACTAGTTTGGCTGAGGGAAAACTCAAACCCAGATGCAAGGCCAGGAAGAAAGAGGCATAAAAAGCGCCTCTTGAAAAAAAAAAAAAAAAAGAAAAAACAAAAACCCAAAAAACACAGTTTAAAAAGGAAGTGGGGCGACTACACAGAAGAGGAGGGAAACAACAGCCACATTAACACAGCTTGCCTCCCTCACGTTCTGAAGAACAAGGACTTCCAAAAACAAGAGTGGTGTTTCACAGCATTTTTTACTTACGCAGGCTTTAATGTTCTTCCTCTAGAACACCTCTACATATATCTTATATAGAGAGTGTTATGCACGAGGTCCTTCAGAGGAACTCACGCTTAAGTAATCCAAACTGCAAAGCTTAATGTTACACCCCCAACCTGCTGCAGTCGATACAATTAAGTGTCCAGAGTACAGACACCAATCACCACATTACCAGAAGAAATCGTAGGACTAAAAGAACACCCAACTCAGAGCAAGCTAGCTATTTCAGCTTTACATTTACTGGGAATTCTGAGTATGGTTCTGGAATCCGTTCAGGCACTGCAAGCCTGAATTTCTGACCAAATGATCTTACCTGGCTTGCCATGGTTCAAACGGTCTTCTGTCCTTCTCGAAGAACACAGCTGCACAGGTTCCGTTTACTTCGGTCCTTCAGCTGAAAAAGATGTGGGGGAGGAACAAGATGATAAAGAATCTCAACCCTGAGATGAATTACTGTCAAAGAGGTTCACCCCACTTTATGTTTTTAATGTTACTAATTCAGAACTTTGAAATTTAAGTTCTGGCTTGTCACTGTTAAAGCAATGGAGATAAAAAGGATATATGGCCAATGGGATTATAAGTTATTTTCACTTTCTTAAAGTGTAATAGTCCAACAAAATGTTCCCACTGTCCAAAGCACTAGAAAATTACAGCGAGCTTTAAAGTCACCTATACCTTACTCTTGTTTCTGAAATAAGTACATATAATACAGTAACTCAGAATATCCATCTTCTAGAATAGTTAAAAACAAGGCAAAGATAGAGGCTTCAATGGATTTTATACAACGCCTCTTTCCCCCCACCACCACCTTTTAGCCAAATTAAAGGATGATTTACTTGTACCACAAATTATGCAGATGAAAAAAAAACAGTGGTACTTCCTATGTGCTAAAGAACAACAGAAATGAGTTATGAGGGCACAGTACAGGTAAACATGATCTTCCTCTGCACCTGTTCTTCATAAGTCTTCTCTCTTTTACCTCTTCCATATACAGATTCCATTCACTACCAGTGAGTTAGCAACGACACATGACCTTTTACTGCTATCACTAAACCAGTGGTTATACTTTCCTGAAGAGGAATGTATCCGTTTGCTGATTCTGATATCCTTTCTTTAAGTTTTTTTTCCCCCTAGTCATCCAATCAACATACAACAGTGCAGCAAACAGTTTCATTTGTAAAGTATTTTGCATCTACTTCCACACACAGCTGTTCATTCACCACTACTGATTTTTTACATCCAGGTGTTGATCCTTCTAAATGCAGATACTTGATTACTGGTTTTAACTCCCATTTCCATGCAAGAATTTATGTAATGTTTTACATACTGGCTGGTCAAATCCACATTCACATAATACAATAAACACAGAGTGTATGTAATGCCTTAAAGGCTTGTCCACACAGGGTAACAGTTCACAGCACTACTCCTGAAAGCTCCTGAAAGTGGATTAGGCTAACCTGACAGAAGATAGCAGTTTACCATAATCAGAGCATCCATGCGTGGTGTTATTCAGAGTAACTATGCACTTCGTCCCCACACCCATTCTGAAGCCAAGAAAATAGACAAGTACAAACAAGCCCTTAAATACAGGCATATCCTAGTCAGGTTAGCGTATGCCCTCTTACTAAACCTAACTGTGCTCACTATAAAGAATTATCAGTAGCAATTTATTCCTGTTAAAGTTGTTAAATATTAATAAAAATATCCACATAATGATGTTCCTCTAATTCAAGCATTACTTTTCAGTAAAAGGAACCATCAATTCCTCCATGCTTTAAACATGGATATACTAATTCTTGAACTCAGAGCTGCATAATACCTCTTTTTTGTTTTAACTTACCGCTCTATTCGTGCGGATTTAACAGAAGATGTCATGCACTACAAAGCAGTTTTATTGCAAAAGACTATCAAAGGCAAGTGATGCAATTGTTTGTCGATCGTAGGCTTTTATGCGAAACTGCGTTTTGGTATTCTTTTCCCTTCTGATCTTGACTGTTGCTTCTTGATCTTTTCACTAGAAAACAAAATTGTTTTAAAAGCCGTTAAACCAGGTTGCATTAACATTGTATTTTTTACGTTTGCCTCAGCTAGAACTACAGACACAGCTAGCTTATTATTTAAGGAGCCGGGGCAGCTTTAACCTCCAGCATTCAAACACCTCCTTAACTGGATCACGCACCCAGTTTGCCAGCCCGTTTATTCCACGTTTTTGTTATTCTGGTTGTACTGGCCAAAAGGCGGCTGAAGCGGTTTACGAATAAAAACGCCCCGGCGAACGCCGCTCACCGAAGGGCGAGCCGTCGTCGCCCGCCCCCCCGCTCCCGCCTCCATTTCGCTCACGGGAGGAGCCGGGTGAGGGGGAAATCTCCCCGAGGCTGCCCGGGCCCCGGCCGCGCCGTGACGCATTTTCATAAAGCACGACGGGAAGAGCCGCGGCGCCCGGCAAAAGGAGTGCGCCCCGCCCGGGCGCCGAGGCAAATTGAAAAAAAAAAAAAAAAAAATAAAGTAATAAATAATAATAATATTAATAAATAAAAATAATAAAACAAAAGCCCGCGGGGAGCTGAAAGAGGCGCTGCCGGGCGGGCGCCCCAGGGGGGTGGCTGGTTCAGCGGGCGCGGCGCTTCAGCCCAACGGCCGCCGGGGCCTCCCCGCCCGCAGGCCCGTGAGGCGGCGGCCCTGAGGCCGCGGGGGGGGGGGGGGGGAAGGGGGAAGAAGGGGAAGGCCGCCCCCGCCATCGCCCCGCGTTGCGCAGCGGATCGGTCCGCGCTTCCTTCCCCGCCGGCGACCCCCGACACGGGTCACACACACGCCCCGTCCCCGTCCCCGTCCCTCACCCCCACGCCGCTCCCGTCCCTCACCCTCCCCGTCGCCATTAGCAGCGGCGCCAGCCCCGCTTCCGCCCCGCCAGGCCCCCGCGCCCGGGCTGCCCCGCGTGGAGCCTGACCCGCGGGGAACCCACCGCCGCTTTTTTTCCCCCCTCGTCCCGTCCCGTCTTTCCCTCCCCCGGCGGCTGCCGGAGGCCGCGGGCTCTCCCCTGAGGGAAGCTCGGCGCAGGCAGCGCGGCGGGCGGTCGGGAGAGCGGCAGGGCCCCCGAGCGCGGATGGAGCTGGTAGCGGGCTGCTACGAGCAGATCCTGCTCGGGTTCGCCGCGCGGCCCTCTGAGGTAAAGTGGGGGGGGGGGATATGGGTGAACCCCCTCTCCCTGAGGGCAGCTGCCCCGCTACTCACCAGCGCGCCTCTCCGCGGCCGCGGAACTGAGCGCCGGGAAGGCTTTTAAAGCGCGGCGGGGGCGGGGCGGCCTCTCGCAGCCTCGAGGCTCGGCCCCCCCGTCGCCGCTGGCGCGGGGTGTGGGAGCGGCCCACGGACACGGCGCTGCCCCCGCCTCTCTTTTCCCCCCCCCACCTTCTCCGGTCACGGCCCGGGGAGGCGGGAAGAGGGGCTCCCCCGGAGGCTCGGATCCTTCGAGCGGCGGGGAGCGGGCGCTGCGAGATGCCGCCCTCTCAGCCTTCCAGCGCAGAGCGGAGAATACGCGGCCGCGCAGGAGATGGGGGCCACATTGTCTCGGGTGGGCCGGTGCCAGGTGGAAGGCGTGCCTCCAGCCTGCAGTGGTGGAAAAGGGGAGAATCCGCCTGCTTTGCCCGTGAGATAGATCTCTGCAGATAGTTTCCCACACGCAGGTTCATCTAAACCCAACACCGATTAGAAGAGGCGGTTTGCACGCTTAAATCGTTCAAACTAATCTCCTAACAGCACATTAACTCAATAAGATCCCATTATACTTATGGTTAAGTAGAATTCCTTTGCATTTTACACATACAGTTAAGTTTTGCATTAAAAAAAAATATAAGTTTTTGCATAAAGTTTTTGCATAAAAAAAAAAAAAATACAGGATGATGAAGTTGAAACTCACTATGGGAAGTTTCGGAAAGACCTGTTCGTTCTGTATTTCATTTCCAGTCCTGGACGGTTGTCCCTGATTTTACACATCATGCCCACTCTGCCTCATTGTCAGCAGTAGCAGTGAGCAGCAGATACGTGGTCACTGGGAGCAGAGATGAGACCATCCAAATCTATGACATGAAAAAGAAGATAGAACATGGGGCACTGCTGCAGCACAATGGTAAGGGAGCTTTTCTTGATAAAAAGCATTAGTGATAGAAACTTGTAGCTGAAAAACTGGACCTTGCCTGTAGAAGAAAAATGAATTTTTTTTTAACAAGTCCTTAATAGTGATGGTGCTGCAGCCATGATGACCTGATGATCCAAACAAGGTAAGCTTTTGAGTATAAAAATCCCAAACTAATTTTGGGTATTAGCATACAAATACAGCTGCTTCTTCCAATTATTTTTCATTTTAACTGTTCAAGACATTATGGACCACAAATGGCTCATGAGCCATTTTTGTTCCACCAGGACATTTTATCTAGACCATGCCTTCTCCCAACAACTACCTTTCCTAGTGCCCTTGTCCTGTCACAGATGTAGTTAAGGCACAAAAAAGAGCTTGTGTGTGAGAGCAGGCTGCTGCTGCCAGAGGAGTTAACCTGGTACATTTCCTACTTTATGTGCCTCCTGAATTACAACAGTGAAAAACATTAGTTAACAGCTGTCCAAATAAACATATTTGGGTCATTTGTAGCTCAATCCTGATTGCCCTTTTTCTCCTGATAACCAAGAATTACAGGGAGCTGGAATGAACGTGGTCCTTGCGTTCAACTCATGTATGATAAATTGCTTATGGGAAGTGGCGTGTGCAGTAAATTCAGCTGTGTGTCAAGAGCAGGGCTTTGACATAGGAGAATCCCTTATCACTGATAGAAGCTCTGTGTCACCTGAGCCACAGTGGTTAAGTACTGCAGATTCAGGGAACAGCCCAGATAGAGTTCAGATGTGTGTATGGCTGTAGGGGGGCTGACAGAGCACATCAGAGATTGAGTATAACAAGAAAGTTTGGGGGTTTTGTGAAGAAAAACATAGGAAATAATTCAGATTTTCCCAAGGAAAGGGTAGTAGTAGCTGGCATGTTTTGATGCTAGAAGCTTCTTCATTAATTCTCTGTCCCTTCTCATTGCCGGAGGGGAAGGGAGAGAGAGCTGCTGCATTGTGGTTGGCTGCCAATCAGGCCTAAACCACGACAGTTATGTACAACATTGTTAATAGCTCTGGTTTGTATTTCTAGGTACAATAACTTGTTTGGAGTTCTATGGTACTGCACATCTACTGAGTGGGGCTGAAGATGGACTAATTTGTATCTGGAACACAAAGAGATGGGAATGCCTGAAATCTATTAAGGCACATAAGTGAGTGTCTTAAACGTGTATATTCACATACATTCTCATATTTATTTTCCTTTGTAAGTAATATATGTGGCTAATACGTTGTTTTGTTTTTATCAGGGGGCATGTGACATCTCTTTCTATTCATCCTTCTGGGAAATTAGCCTTGTCAGTAGGAACAGATAAAACATTAAGGTGAGTCGAAACTGGTGAAGGAATGCTGAGAATCGTAATTCAGTAACTCTTAGTAAATTGTAATAAGCAACAATTCCATGTTGGGAGTAGACGGTGCAACACTGATAAAACATACTTGGACATCAAATGGTTCAAAGATCCAATCATTTGTCTTTTTAAGTTCTAGATACCAGCAGTATTTTAAAGTCTTTTAAAATTAGACCTTGCTGTTCTTAGCTTCTTGTGCTCTGACACTTTATAGTCACTTGTAGATGTATAAATACATTTGCATTTTGGAACACGATGAATTTAAACTTCTGAAAGCTATCAGGTTTTGCTTAGTGTGAGAAAAGTAATTTTTCACTTGGAGTGTGTACATGTTGTTGTGTATATGTGTTCTAAATATGTAAGATGCTATTTTAACAGCACAAATTGGTATTGGGCTCCTTTTGGGCTCTGCATTGCAAGCAGTGGCTTATAAATATCACAAATTCAAACTTACAGCAAACAATCTATGAAGTCATCATTTTCTCTTGCATTAAGAAGGCAGTAAAATGCATAGTGATGCTTAAAAGCTTCCTTTGGTTGGCTCATGTCAGCAGATAGGACTTCAGCTTCACTGTGCTGTTTTTAACCAGAATGCACATTATCTGTTGTCTTTCAGGACCTGGAATCTTGTAGAAGGACGATCAGTCTTTATCAAAAACCTGAAGCAAAGTGAGTTTGTCTAAATCTGCTAAAAAAGTGGAACTATATAGTTTTATTTTTTGTGTAAAGAAAAGTAGACTGAATTAATCAACAAGTCAGTTAATTGCAAGCAACTTTCTCATTGTCTTTTTTACACATGCAAGCAAGCATATGTAAGCTTATGTCATTAATAATAATCATTTACCAAAAGGAAAACATAGTGACACTAAAGTAAATTTTTCTTTCCTTGAAATATTATGTCAGGACATTTAAATAAATGTGTTTTGTTTTGTATTGGATTTATGCACTTCTGATAATCAGAAATAAACACTCAAGAGTGTTGTTTTACTTGCTTATTCTAGGTTACTTGATTTTTTTTTCCCTGAATTTTTCTCAGGTTGAGGTAGAAAATGGTGTCTAGCAGCTTCTAAACATTCTTACTTTTAGATTCTCTTGCAATATAGAGTGCAAAAAACCTGTGTACAAGTGTATACAAATGTATCAATATGTACAGATGCCCACATAATTAAATGGTCACCTGATGGAGAGACGTATGTGACCGTGATAACAAATAAAGTGGATATCTACAAGCTTGACACAGCTTCAATCACTGGCACTATCATAACAGAGAAGAGAATTTCTTCACTTAGATTTATTACAGTAAGTACAAAAAATAAAGGTGCTGGGAAGTGAACTGGTTTGAAACGCATTAAATTAATCACACTTGCATTTCTTTTTTCCCATTCTAAGGATTCTGTCCTTGCCATAGCTGGAGATGATGAAATTATAAGGTTATACAGCTGTGACTCTCAAAAATGCCTGTGTGAATTTAAAGCTCATGAAAACAGGTATTCTATATTTGTTTACTATTTAAATATTTATGACAATGCTGGGTACTCTGTAAAGTTCAGTGACTTACAATGTTCAGCATATTTTACTATTGTTTTTGTTTTATAAATTTAATTTATTTATGTGCTAAATGCCAAATCTGGGACAGAATTGTTTGCTTTTAGTATAAGCACAAGTACTGTGCTGTCCATGCACGTTACAAAAACAACCGGGTATAGAACTAGAAATAATATAGTTCTAAACTTATGAGGGGGGGGGGGGGGGGGGTTTACCCAGAGGTACACACTTCTCTGTGGGTGGTCTATGCATTTCTGAAACTGGGTACCCGTATTTTCCTGCAAGATCATCTAAAGAATGTTTAACCAGTCTTTACAGATTCTGACTCTTCAGAATGCTTAAATGAAACAAACCAGTGTACTCAGTCCAGATAATAGGAGAGTAATCACATATTCTCTGTCGTTGTTGAATACCAAGTATTTGTCCAAATGCTGCTTTTAATTCATCAAAACACAAAAGCATTAGCTAAAATGTCACTGATGCGGTTAATAGTGTGTGCTTATAAGTATTAAAGTGTTCTGAATTGAATCCTAACAAGCCCAGCAAAGACAAATGTTCCGACTGTAAATGACAGCACTCAAAACAGATTATGGTTCCAAGTTCCTGCCTGTCATTTGTGGGCTTTCTGTTCAAACTGATTTTTAGATGATTGCCTATTCACCTTTAATTTCTCTCAGCTTACTGTTCCGAAGTGAACTGCCATACTATAAAGTAACAAAGTATTACATTTTCTTCACAGAATAAAAGATATCTATAGTTTTGAAAGAGAAGGACAACATGTTATTGTTACTGCATCCAGTGATGGTTATATTAAAATGTGGAATCTGGATCTTAATAAGGTTGGTCTATTAAACTGCTTCTTAAATTTATGGAAGAATATCAGACAACCAAAATTACAGACAGTGCTGTTATAAAAATTAATTTTAAATCACTGAGGAAATTTTATTAGAAGTCTGGATGTCTTGATCTTCCTCTGTGTTATGTTCAGTAGAGATATATATGCCTGTGCACATATTTTTATGCATTTTTATATTTTTGTATCTTTGTAATTTTCTTTAAACACACACTACAAAATCTGATGATAATACAGTGGTGTCATCTTCTCTTTAGGTAAAGTCATGCTTCCTTTTTAGACCTACCTGGACAGACTTAAAACTGTCTAATTAGTTATATACGTTCTAAGGACTGCTGTGAATTTTTGTAGTGTTAACGACTGCTGCTACTCTTTTAAAAACACAAGCTCTGTGGTTTGGGGAGGAGGTGGTTGTTCATGTAGGGGAGAAAATGTTGTGCTTTTGAAAAATTCAAGTACATTGATGTAGTGGGTACTTTTATTTTCTGTATTTTCAAACAGTTCTGAGTAGCACAGTTCAACAAGGAATCATGTCTTTAAAGTTTCCCATGTTTGTTGTTTGCTCTGGGGTTTGTCTAAATCAGAATTAGATTTTTTAAATTTAATGCCTAATAATAAAGGATCTAATATATTCCACTATATATATCTTGAATAGTTCAAATAAATATCTCTCAACATTTATACACTTTATATATAATCACATCTGAATTTGCTTGGTTTTAATTTGACCCCCTCTGATTATTTTTATACTTCTAAGTGCAGTAATGAATATCCCTCTTTTCCCTTCACTTCCAATTTCCATTCCCCTTGTACATAACTGACACAGAGATTGGGGAACTCTTTACCTTTCTCTGTAACATTGACTATTTTGACCAAATGTGTGATTTTCTTCTGGTGCAGGCAAAATTTTGTAAAACTGTGTGGGCTGTTCTGTCCAGTTCTGTGAGGTAGAATACCTTAATACAAGTAGTTTCTGATGGGTTGGTGCTTCTACACCATACATGTGTTTGTGACACTTTATCCCTTGATATCTGTAATAGGATATTTGCTCAAGTATTCCCAGAGCTGTCTGATACGATTGCAGTTAAGCAATTTGAAACACATGGTGAAGATATTACTTTTAATCAGCAGCCCTATCTTTGTGAGGGACAAAGGGAATCTGATGCAAGAACTTCATTCAAGTTATTTCAGCTGTAGCAAAAAAATACCTGTTACTCTGGAGAGACTTCTGAAACCATTAACAATTGGTTTTTGTGGGTATTTGACTCATGTAGTTATTCCACGTGTTAAATTTACCCCCATGTGCCTGAAACCCACTGATCTTGCTTATCAAGATATGTTCTTAAAGCCATTGGGAGTTTTTTGTAAAGCCACCACCAAGGAAGGGTATCAGGAACGGGACTGTAATAATGTGACCATTAACTGATATAGAGCCTCTAGTTCTAAACATTGTTAGGCACCAGAAATGAAGTGGAAGGTAGGCAGTAAGATACTTTCTCACTTTATTTTATTTCTACTTAGATTTACTTAAGTATTTAATCTTTAATTAATCTTTTTCTGTATTATCTTCAGATTGAAGATGTGCCGTCTTTACTGTGTGAAGTCAGTACCAAAGCTAGGCTGACATGTCTTGCAGTATGGCTTGACCAAGCTTCAGAAATGAAAGAAAATTCTGATAAAGCTGCGACATCATCTAAAGGTAACAGAACTGTGTATTTTTGGTTGTTCCTGTGACTGTGAAATGGAATATACGAAGTAGGAGGTTCTTACTGTAGGTACTGGAAAAAGTTTTGGTATCGTGAAGAACTGGGGTTATGACGCTGGCAAGGGATCTAGATATCCTTATCAAGCTCAGTGTCTCAAGCCTGCATGTATGTTGGAGGACATAAGCCTCTCTTCATTTTTATTATATAAAAGTGTTGTTTCTCTTTACTGGAGTAACATACTGAGGAAGCCACTGTGAGGCTTTTGAGGCAGATAAGGCAAGAATAAACAGTGTGATAAAACTGCATGTCTTGTTTTCCTATAAACAAAATCAGGTCTGAGGCCACTGTAGTTGGGCAAACTTAGGAAGTCTGCTTCAATTTGTTGGTTGGTTTTTTTTTTGCTGTTGTTTTCCTGTATCATAATCTATTTACACACTTGATCTTCAGATAATTCCTTATCACAGGCCAAACTAGCATAAGTGGCACATTCCACTGTAAATAAAAAATCATTTATAAGCCCATTTTTAAAATGAGATACAGATAAATCTGTGCCATTTTAGACTACGAAGACTGGATGTAAATGTCAGTGTGAGTAATTTCTTGCTTTTTTTCAGCAAATGAAGATGTAAAATCATCATTAGTCATGAAAAAAAAGGTTTCTTGGACCGATAAAAGTGATAAAACAACAGAAAGAAAGAGGAAAATTACTTCAGAGAAACAAAAATTGGAAGCTCCGCTGCAAATAAAGAAAAAGAAACGGCATAGTTCAGCATGAAGGCAGCTGCTTTCTCTCCTGAATAAAAAGTAAATGCTGGTGTTGCTGTTGGCTTTTATAAGGATGTAAACCTCTGACAGGACATATACCTCTGAACTGACCTGTTGTTTAAAAGTAATTAATGTTTTTACCCTAATAAAATGACTGATCATTATGAGAAGTAGCAAAAAAGATGGCAACTTTTTCTAAGAGACGGAGGCAAAAATAAATTCATAATATGTAATGTTTATATTTTTCTATTAACAATAGCATACACTTCTTAACTAACTCTGAAAAAGACAGCTAGGGTTATAAAAATAGCTTCATCTGTCTCAGTTACACTTTTGTCTCACTTAAATGCACATTAAAAATATGTACACTTTTTCGTTTTAGTGTTGGAAAAGTTACTGTTCATTTGACTCAAAATATGATTTTCCTTTGTCATGCATTACTTTTCCTATTATAAGAAAGAACATGTTAAAATTATTGAAAATATGATGATCACACTCCATTCATACATTCACAGAAAATCATACTTTCTAATTCTTGAAATGGGACTTATACATCAAGCTTATAAGCAAAATATTTGGGTTTTTTACTCTGTCCATACTTCATGCGTTTAATTTTTTTTAAAGTCTTTGCACCCATGGTTCACATGAATGAAATCTTTTGTTCAGAATATGATACGTATTTTTAGGTGGAAGAGTTTATACCATTAAGGTTTTACTTTCTCTTCCCCCTTCCCATAGCATTTTTTCAAGTCCTTGATCTGAGCTGTATTGATAAAAAAAAAAAAAAAACAACCCCCAAAAAAAACATTTGGAATGTTTGTCATGCTGATAAAATGCAACTCATCTGTTTTGCACTTAAACAAAAAGTGAATTCTTGACGTTCTCAGTCAGTGGGAACAGGATTTTATCCTAAGTCTTATTACAAATATACAGTGGGAAAAACAAAGTTGAGCTGGAGAGAACAAGGCCAAATAGTTCTACTAAATGTTCCCTTTATTTCTTTTAAAGTAAGGCATTTTAATGTTGTTTTCTGCACTACCAGAGTAGTCATAATTTCTTCTGTTTTGGAAGAGTAATTGGAATTATACTTTATTCTGATTCTCTTTAGTAATAATCTGTTCCTCCTTATTTGTATGTATAGCAAGAGAAGAGGTAGAGAAATCAGGAAAAAAAGATTGAGCCAGATCTGGAGATGGGAATGCAGGCTGTCTTAGGGATGTAAAACAGCATATAACTCCAGCTCACCTCTGTGTATGCTCTGGCACTGAAACAAAGTGTGCATCATCAGTGCTGTTCTGAGATTGTTCATGTGGCAGTGGCAGTTTTCTCTTGGAGGTGGGTGTCTGCATTTATCTTTGGTAACTGTCTCCCCTATTTAGATAAATGATCACAGCCCCTTGTCTTAATATTCAGTATAGTTGATTTATATGAGCTCAGTTTAATTCAACATTAAAGGGATTTCAATTGTACTGTCGTTTGAACTTACACAGCTTTTAGTTTGAATAATACCCTGAATGTGTGTGTACACAAACAGAGGGAAATAACACAGGACTTAAAATGGTTTGTAGACTTCGCAGGAAAGCTACTAAATCAGATTTTTAATTGATAACAAGGCTCCTGTAGTAAATACTGGACTTACAAAATACAAGCTTAAATAAGAGAATTCTGTAAAGTGTTTTTGCTCATAAAGTGTTATATTTCATAGTGCTTATCTTACATCCTTGACAAAATGGCTGCCACTACTAAAACAGTTTTTATTGTTTGTATTTTTAAATACATGAGCTCATGGCTATGGACATCACAACTACAGAAGCAAGCTCTCATGAGCATCAGGAAAAATCCAGTTTGCATGTCATTTTAAGAATTAAAAAGCAAAAATTCCACAGCATTTTGGTTCTAAGGTTTAGACTTCCAAGTAAATATTAGGCATTTGTAAAAATCCAACCTCCCTATCTAGTAACAAAAAATTATGCATCTCATGAGACTCAGAGGTATTTGTGAACTGGAGGCAGAGCAGACAAGTCCTAACAACTTTTAAGGCGAAATACAGAAACAGTCTCTCCTGAGAGGAAAACTCGTATTTCCTATACCTTGAGTGAATGCTCAGCTACTAACCAGTACTTGGCTTTTTTTGTTGCTGTTGTTTCCTTGTGCACATCCTCCTTTTCAGCACATTTTCCATTCTAGTTTTCAGGGAATTGCTTAGACTGATAGAGGGGAGGCAGCAGTGCAGAGCGAGAGGAGATGTCAGTGGTGAGAAAGCTCTTCCTGCGTCAGGGCGAGCGTGCACGACGCTGGTAGACGGAACCACGGCTGAAGGAAACAACAGCCAAGCGAGCAGCATCTCAGCTGAGCCCTGGGTGAGTTCGGCAGCTCCGGCAGCTGTGGATTTCTTCCAGTTTCCCTGCTTCCCCTCTTGGGGAAACCCAGGGCTGGATTACAAAGCACAAGCCACTGGAATTTGAACCTCCTGGTCTTAAGACAGCTTGAACAAAAAAGGGAACCCCATCTGTGTTGGTTGTGGCACTTTTCAGGGAGACGGGAGAGCTCTAAAACCACTTAGGTCAAGAAGGGAATTAAACTGCTCTCTGCTTTCTGACCACTAGCTGCGGAGCCGCGGAAGAACGACACACCGAGACGGGTTCAATGTGGGTAATAGAGCATCAATCTACGTGTGTCTTTATTGGTCCAGGGTACATATATTTATATAGACAATGATAATTATTATGCCTACTAGTCACTAGCTGATTGGCTTAAGCTCTAAAGGTCGTATTCACACGGTCCACGTACTTGCAGTCAGCTAACAGCACAAGCTTCTTATAACACTAAGTTTCTCATGCCACTATTTCTAATTCCTCTTGACTTGTTTTCAATACACAATGGTACCATAACACAATGTTTCTCAGACCACCGTTACCATAACACTAGGTTTCTCAGACCACTATTCCTAATTCCCCTTAACCTGTTTTCGACACACCACGGTACACAGGGCTGAAGCGTCCTTGACATTCCTCCTGTATCAGCAGCTGTGAGCAGCTGCAGGCAAACCCTAGTGGGGCCCAGCATCAGCGAGGCAGCATCAGCCCCTAGAACAGGCTCTGATGACTGCTCGGTGGGCTCAGGACCCTTGTCTCTGAGCCATTCTCTGTTGTCCTGAGCCTAATTCATAAAGATGAGAAAATTTGAAATGCATCTAGAGAAAGCTGAATTTTGCAGAAAGCACAGGCCTCTGATGTTTTGTGCCTTCTGTTATGAAGAGGCACCAAAGGCCTTCGGCTGAGGGACCTGGCTGGTGGAGTGCTCACTCTTTCTATGTGGTTAAACGTCCATGGGAGGTAACTGGAATAAATCATACAGCACCATTTACGTGAAGAAAGCCAGTTTCAGCACTTGAAAAGAGTTTATCTTTGTAGATAAACATCTCTACATTTTTTCCAGATTAAAAAAATGCAAAACTTTTTCTTTACAAGATGTTTTCTGTCTCCCACAGTTGTGTACGTCCTACAGCAAGACTCCTTTTTCTGTTGCACTAGCTGTACTTGCAATTTGAAGATTACAGATACCCTATACATCTTCCATAAAAGGGCTATACTGAAATTACTGACCAAAGCTGGAAGCAGCCTGTGGGCTGCCCAGAGTTGTAGCTCACTCCACAAAGCAACCCCAAATTCTCAGCTCTACCACGTCCCCAGCTTCTGGGACAGCGCTAGGGCGCAGTTAGGAAGGAGCTTTGCCCCTCACCAAACCACCACACCAAACCTCGTCTGCACTAAGCTCTCCCCTCAGTTTGTAGGCACCGGGGCTCGCTGGGGCATCCTCGGGGACCCCCCGCGGGGGCCGGGGGAGTGACCCCAGAAGGCGGGGAGGCACCGACGCCTTCCCCCCGCTCAGCCCCGCGCCGCGGGACCACCCTACCCTGCCTATTAGCGGGGTTCGGTTTGGTTCTTCCCCCCCCCTCCCCCAGAACAGCCGGAAAAGGGAACCCTGGGCCGGTGCTCCTCCCCTCCCCTTCCGCAGCCGGCTCCGCCCCGCGCCGCCGGGGGCCCGGCCCGCGGATCTTCCGTGGCGGGGCGGGCACCCGAGTCGGCCCTGCTGCCCCCGGGCTCTATTCCCGACCAACGGGTTTTCATCTCCTGGCGCTCGGGTTAGGGCTTAGGCTTTACGCAGGAGGCCTTGCTCCTGGTAAAGCTCCCCACGGCCAAAGGCCATTATTTATGTTGTTTTTTTTTTTTCTCTGAAAAAATAATCCTGACCCCCATTTCTCTTCCAGCATGGCAGTGGACTGGCTCGGCTTTGGCTACGCCGCCCTGGTGGCATCAGGAGGGCTTATTGGCTATGCAAAAGCAGGTACGGTGCGGGAAGGTGCTTCTCTCTCCCTTTCCCCCCACCCCCCAGTGACTTTGTGGGAGCTGGGCGGCTTTTGGTGAAAGGCTCCTATCTCGAAGTTCATGCAGATACAAAATGTATCAGCTTGGGCCACGTACTGATAACTTGCAGCTGTTGGGGTGTGGTGCTTTTGGGGTTGAGCTGGTGCTTTGGGCTGATAAGACCACCATCTGCTTTCTGCTGGATCCTGCCTCTGCGTTGTGCTCTTTGGGTGAACTGACGTAAATTTGCTTCAGGAAGGCTTTTCCCCTGATATTCTAAATACCAGCATTCTATAAATGTTCTGTATCTTCAAATGACTTAAATAATATTTTTTTTTTCTTTAGAGGTTTATTCTCATTTTAATGTTCGATGGTAACAGTATACTGTAAGATGCAGAGTTTTCAGAAGGATCCTTTCTCCAAGTAGAGCTGAACAATGCAAATCAGTCCTCAAACTTGTTCCATTTCTGGGCTCTGCATCATAAACTTACCCTCTGACCTACTGCTTTCACCTCCTGACCTTTTTCTGAGTTTGTCCTCCTCTGGACAGATCTGTGGATTTGTCCCTGCTGCAATACTGTTTCTTTCAGCTTCAGAACTCCCTATGTCATCTTAGTGATTGTGGTGTGAAGGTGCATTGCTGAAGTCAGTAAGAACCTTACCGGTGCATTTGACTACATAGAGGATAGTGCTTATTCCAATCTGTTTTCTATTGGCTTGATTTATCGTTTGAGCTGTGAGTGGAGTTCAGGGCAGAAAGGACAATACTGAGAACTTCAGTAACTAATTGCATCTTGTGTTTCTCTGAGGCCATTATGAAATGGTAGGTGTCTTACGCTCTGGTCCTACATGGGAGGACATGGCCATGCTGAAGTGAGGGAATCCAGGTCACGGGATTTTTGAAGGTGGAACAGGAACTTGTAGGGTGACTTGTAGGGAGGGGGGAAAAAAAAACAGGCAAGCTATCGTATCACTGCTAGTAACTTGGAGAAACCAAAAGAAAATGGAACTTTCATCCCTAGAGCCAAGATGGTGATCTGTTCTTGTACAACCAGGTCTATTTACCCACGCAGACTGCAGTCAGCAGTAGGTGCCTTGGGAAGAGTATAAGAACAGGGCAAGCAAAGAGTGATTGATTGATTGATTGATTTTTCTCTCTTCATTTCATAAGTTCTCTGGGTCCCAGTGTGTTGAGACTCAGGAACTTCCTGAGCCAGAGGTGCTGTGGTTGTCCTGGTAAGTGTATGTGTCATAGCTGCTTAAACAATGCCTCAAGGTAAAATTCAAGGATATGATGGTCATTTCTTGGCTCCCAGGCTTGTGTAAAGAATTGTAGCTGCCACATGTTGGTTTCTAAACTGTGTCCTGTGCAGAGCAGCCACTTACTAGAGCTTGCATCTTTTCCTTGCAAATGTGCAAGAATATCTGGTGCTTTCTATCATCTTTATCTGTTGCTTTTTATACCAAAAGCAGGATCTGAAGCAATGTTACAGCTGTCTTGTTGATGACTAAAAAATTATTACTCTCTGATAGCAATATGTGATCCTCCTGTAACAATGAGGGGCGATCCTTATCAGCTTAGCTTTGCAATCTTGAGTCTTTTAAAGGTGACCTGAAAAATGGAATATGTGAAGAACCACCCTCAGTTGCATTAAGTCCTGAGTTCTCCATTAGCCTTATTGAGGGCATTCACCATTCACAGTGGTCACGGCACTTCATTACTTGATGTCATCTATAAATCACCAATATGGATGTGGTATCCTTTATCTACGGGTAGCTTGGGGTTACCGTTTATACTGAGGATTTGATCCAAATATTAGGAGAGTCCAGGGAACCTTCTTCCAAGGTCTGCAATTACCTTTGGATCAGATCTCAGGTGTACTTAGGAGATATGACCTCTCTTATTTGACTCTGCTCTCTTCTTTGGCAGCTGTCTATTTGTCTGAATGCCCTCCTGTCCAGTTCAGTCCATCTGTCCTTTTTCTGACTTTAAACCCTTACTATTTAATCCATCTACTTTCCTGCCTCTCAAGAAATTCTGATATTACTGTGTTGAAACAGCATGCTTCAGTTTGCATAACGAAAACGCTAATTCTTTTGCTGTTCTCACAATTCTTTCCATTATAAATACAATAATGGCTTTGCTGTTAAAAAATTAGATACCAATGCTATTTTTATCTTATACAAGAGTATCTGAATGTGTTTCTTGGTGTAGATCAGCACGGTCTTAGTATCTTAAAAAGAAAACAAAACCTCTCTAATATGCTTTATAACAATGAATGCCCATCTTTTTTTTTTTGTTACTGTTGCTGTTAAGCAAATTTATTTCTGAGCTTTTAATAAATGCATTATCTTTTACTTATTCAGGTAGTGTGCCATCGCTAGCTGCTGGCCTTTTCTTTGGGAGTTTGGCTGGACTGGGCGCCTATCAGCTCTCACAGAATCCAAGTAATGTTTGGATTTCTCTGAGTAAGTCATTTAAAATATTAACTAGAAGGGATTATAATTACCCTAAAATAACTGGATACTTAAAACGTGTGCCTAAAATTCTTTTGGAATGGTTTTATAAATCGAGTTTCAATGTAATCTTTAAAGTTGTGTTTTAGTGAAAAATCTCCATGAGTGGCCAAACTCCACTGCTGTCTTGGAATGTAAACTGTTAGCATTACTTATTTCTTTTTTTAAAGAATGTATTGAGAATGCATATTAAAAACTGTCTTGCTCAGTGATTTCTCACTACATTTCTGCATCCCTTTTGCAAGAAGTACAAAGTGCTTTGGATGACAGTTCAAGCTTATATTTTTGGTCCTTTTCTACAATAGAAGAGGAAAGTATCTGTTATTTGTCATTAGAGTTTGTCTTCTGAGCATCAAAACACCTACAGGTTGTGAAGGAAAATGTGCGCTAGGATAAAGCGAAACTTACATGGTTTAAAAAAAAAAATCAAATACCATTATTTCACATCCTTCAGCAGAATAAAAATCAAATAAGCATTTTCTGCTTAAAAACTTCTGCGTAGTGTGGTGTGAATCTCCAAAATGCAATTTTTGTCTTTCTGCCATTTACCATATAAGCTCAGGGTTGCAAACAAGTTAGAATAGTTACCACTTTAACCCATGCATGTCTAAAGCTCATGCCAGTTGCCACATAACATGACATGAACTTTTCTCATTCACTGATAAGTTGGGGTGCCTTGCTATGTGTAGATAATTCCTGTAGCTCAGCTGAAGCCTGACACTTGTTAGGCTGCTGTATCTCAGATACCTGTGGGCACTTTTATGTAATCCTTTGGCCTCTATTTGTGTTAGTGGTATCCTCTCCTCTCTGTTCCTGATCTGTAGGAGACATCGGTGCATGACAGTTCTCTAGCACTAGCTGTGTTTCAGTCCCCAGGCTTTGCTGAATTGGTGGCTGCCACCATGTGTCTGTCTCGTACTGGTGTGTTTGAAGGTTCATAGTGCAAGGGAAGTGCTAGTAAATTGATGCCTGACCTCTGTGTGTCCTCTCCTTGTCTGGATCCTACTTTCATCATCCTGCAGGAGACTGGAGCATTTCAGGAAGAGTGATTCCCCTGCAGACTGCCCATACCCCCAGTAGGTTGTTTTATTCCTGCTGAAAATGACACAGACTGCGATTGGCTTGTTTTTGTACATGACAAATATGTGGAATGACAAAGGTGTTGCATGCCTGGGGAGATTTAACAGAGCAGCAAGTTTCAGTAACGCAGTATCTTCTTCCTTCTTCTCAGAACTGGAGCTTCCTTTCTCCCTGACTTTGAGAAGCTAACTGTGGAGGCTCACTGCTTAGTCAGTGCTTAAAGAGCTGCCGTAGCATTTGTTTGCTGAAGCAGTGACATAGCAGCTGGCTCTTTGATACATGAAAGACGTGAAAGGGGAAGGCCTAGTGTTCCTCTCCACTTCAGCACTGTCTACAGTGCAGTCCATTTACACCTCTACTGGATAGGTCAAAAACTGTTTGTGGTCAAGCCTAAATAGCTGGAATAAATTGCAAATATAGCAAGCTTAACAGGAGTGAGACAAAGTATTTTCTCAAATGCAGGAGAGATACATTTCTGTAATCCAGTAGCATACAGAATCTTTTCTGCCTCCCTTTCCTACTTTAAAGTTTTTGAAGAAGATGTGTTCTACTGCTTAGACAAAATTACATTTGCTGTGGTGTGCATATTTTGAAGACTGGCTACTGATTAGAGTTTGGGGTATTGAAATACTCAAGTATTTAAGTTCTTTCTTTTGTATTAGACTGTGGTGCCAGTCTTTTACGTATCTACTTATATGAGACTGTTAGATGTCAATGACAGTATTTAGGGTGGTATTAGAGGAGAAGGCTGCCATGGCTGGGATTGAAGGTGGGCTGGGTCCTGCCGGACCAGCCATCACATCCAAGCAGTGGTAAAAGGTAAGAGTGGTTGGAACAACATGTTAATATGTAGCTGTTACCACTGGGTAGCAGATGCATGCTAAGGCTAAGGATTTAATCAGTATGTTTTCCATATAGCTTTCTTGGTGTTCCATCTTTCTTTGAGATACAGTGTTCCAGAGATTGCTCTTTCTGTTTTACTGGCTCAGTGAAACTACCTGGCTCCTGTCTCAATGTCAAGTGGTCAGAGTAGGTAGCTTTAACTCTCTGACTTTAGTGGAAGGTGGTGCAGGCCTGAAATGGATTGGTAATGCTTAGCATTTACATAGCACACTTCAAAAGGGAAGTCTTTTGCAAACATAAATGTGTTAATTCTCAGAACATTACTACGAGTTAGACACAAAAATGTTCTCTCCCTTTTATGAGAAGCAGGGTAATTATGTGCACAGGTTTAGTGATTTGCCTGTGCACAGGGAAGGAATGAGTTCCAGAGCAGCGTAGCATAGATTATTTCCAGTCTCCAAAGAAATACGTTTTGACAAAGAAATTTCAGGGGTGTGTGCAGAAGCATATGGAGTGCACTGTCTGCTAGAACTTGATTTAGAATATTTGTTTCACATACAGAGGCATTCCAAAGTTTACACAATTTATTGACTCTGTGTCCATCACGTGAAATAACGCTGTTACACTTTTTACTTGATGATATTACTTCTCTGTTCTCTTAGTTTTGAATTGTAGCATCTCTCACACACATGCATCTCCGCTGACTGGACTGTATAATCTCTCATTTAAGTTACATCTGGAACACTGACTGCTGTCATGGGAACAAGATTTTACAACTCTGGAAAATTCATGCCTGCTGGGCTAATTGCTGGTGTCAGGTACGACACAATATACTGCTCTTTTATTTTACCCCTCTTATGTGTGATTTCTTACTTGCTTATTTAAACTGAGATGGAGTGAATCATATTTTGTGTATCTTTTTTGTTTCCATGCACCGGTTACATGGGAAGTACTTGAAAATGTATGGACAGATTATTATTATTGTTTAATTCTGTGCTTTTCCCCCTTTATACAGTTTGCTAATGGTTGGAAGATTAGCACTGAAGATGGTGGAAAAGCCCCATGATAAGTAACTGTTCTTTTATATTTAATATCTGGATAAGGAAACCTGATAATGAAGTTGCATGAATGCAGAAGCAAGAAGATGGAACAGTTTTCTATATCAAGACAATTCTTTTCCTTTTTTTATATAAGGGGGAATGGAATGATGAGACAGTTTATGTACGAGGTGCCATTGTTTCAGTGATCTGGTAGAGCTATTATTGTGTAGTGAGAAATTGGTCCTGGCTTTGTTTTTTTTCCAGACAAATTTCAGCATATTTTAACACTTCCAGTTTTTGTATTCCAAAATACATATATGAGGCAGAGAGGACCTATAATTAAGAAAACGTCCACAAAAAGACACCCAGAGTAATTTGCTAAATACAACAGTTTACGTCATAATACTGGGCGTTACAGTGTGCTTTACCTGTTGCATTCTGAGTAGATACACCATGTCTCTATAACACCAAACAGATATCACCTTTTATTGTGAAATGATGCTGAAATGTTGCTTTTCTACAAGTAAAATCTGTTAAAAACCTTTCTTTGGCATGTTTTTGTATCTTTTTTTTGTGTTTATGGGGGTAAGGGGTGGGGTTTTTTTTAATCACCTTGTTTTCTCCTCAGTGGAAGTCTGCAGTGAACTGTCAGTATCCAAGTGCTGTCTTTCAATGGTATTTAAAGATCATTTTTTAAATGGAGGGGCAGAAGATTAAATCAGGGGCCTTTAACAGTGTGTTAAAACAGTGGTTGGAAAGGAACTTACTCTGTGGATTAATTAGGCGAGATCTGTGCTACGCTAAACGAACAGTTGAATCTGCTCTGGCCAGAGGACTGTGTAACTAGAATAAAGTAGTTTAACGTCAGCACTGTGTAATTCTGATCTTACAGGCTTATTTGACAATAGAATGTACCAGCACTTTATCACTTAGGGAAGTGGCTCTTCAAATCTGCCTTTACTAGGAAGCCTTGGAGTGTGTGGGGGGGGGGTTCCTAGTTCTGCTGCAGTGCCTGAGGACTGAAGTGTGGAAGAGGCATCAGTGGCATCTGGTGGCTTTGTTGCCTCGCCAGCCTTGACGGCCGCTCCTGCGCTCAGTCTCCCGGCTCTGTCAGCGCAGGCACAGCTAACGTGGGCTTAGCGCCGCGGTGGAAGGGAGGGGCAAGAAACGTGTGAAAGGAAATCCTTTGTCAACTTACCCTTTAGTGATACGTGATTATTGGTAAACTCGGATTCTTACAGTTGTATCTTAAAGTGATGTTTATGTAGTGACTATATAAGATTGTACTTTGGGACCTCTATACCATTGCTTATATCAACACTTTGTCAACTGCATAACATAATTATGGCAAAGCAGGTTTAAGTTAACTTAGGTCTTACATGCTTCCCATTTTGTAATGCTTAAATAAATTTGTAACAATTCTCTCAAACTGCATAAAACAAATACTGAACTGCATAATTGCTCCATTTCTTTGGTCACTTCAAAACTTGTATTTTCCATTCTGAAAACAGCATTTAACAGTATTGAGCCAGAGTGCCATTTCCATTGTTGTGAATCAGTGGAAACCCGTATGGTAGTAGATTGAAAGTTGTTGTAGTAGAAAGTAGTAATTACAAGCAGATCTATAGATGTTGGGCCAGTTGTGCTGTGTATTATTAGTTCTCTTAGCAAGAGTTATAAAATTAATTCCAGGTTTTTGAACATATTTCATATTGTAATCTCTCTTGTTTCCAGGCACTTAATCCATAAACAACCTGTTCTGTACAGGATGGATCTGCAGGGAGCAGCACTAAAAAGATGTAAAAGCATGTCTGAAATTCTAAGCTCAGTTAAATCATAGTATCTTTTGACCATGCTGTAAGCAAAATCCAGCAGGTTTTGTAATTACCTTTATATATTTTAAATCACCCTCTGTAATTGAATAGAAAATTCCATCCCTGCTATAGAATTTTCTAGAGCCATCCAAGAGTTAATATCCTTTCTCCAGACTGTCTATGCTTTTAAGCTGATTGTTAGATAATCCTGCAAGTTTTCTTTCCTATTTTTATTGTGTAGGTTTTGATGGGTTTTATCACCCAAGGGTGATCTCTATGTAAATTATATTATTACTTTTGCATTTAATTTGCTGTGGCCATGCCATGGCTTCAGCGAAACTTCATGCTGTGAGTCAGCTTGTGTATGGATGTAAAATTTGGAAGGAGTGATTTAGTTATTTTTATGAAATGAACTTAAAATAATGATTTACATAAAGGCTACTCTGCTCAAAGCACATTCTGCAAATAAAAATGTTAGTTTAATTTATTTACAGTATCAGCTGTCAGCATGCGCTGAAATGAGTACTGATTTTTTTAATGAGGAACAGGAAACTAGTTTTACAGTACACAGACTGGGTCAGCAGGATTCAACAACTCAGAGTTTAATCATGTCTCCAGAGCTCAAATACATTATAGCAATGACAGAAGAAGAGAGTTTGCATTATCAAATCCTCATTGCCCAGAGTGAAGACCCAGGCTCTCTATTCCGTGTGTTGCTGCCACATCTACAGTGCCTGGTGGAAGCTGCGCGGCAATTGGAAATGGCAAGTATTCCACCCCTCTCTTGAGGGGCTCACTCAGGACAGGGGGAGGGAATTTCCTATTCACTGTGGTAGATAAATGATCTCTTAAAAGTAGGAACTTGCCCTAGGCTTTGCATAGGGGATGTACCACAAATCCTGGAAAGCGAGAGGTGTTGGACCCCCTTTGGTTTCGGCTCTGGCTGGGTTCAAGGTCCCTTCCCAGGAGAGGGCTCTGTGCCTCAGGCCATCTGTAGGATATCCCACAGGAATACTGCCTGGGAAGCCACACTGCAGTGGAGAAGGGAGAGCAGAGTTCCTGGGACCTGTGGAAACAGAAGGAACTATTTTTTTTTTTTAGTCTTCTTTTAAAGCTAAACAGTAACTGGCAAAAATACAGAAACATCCTGAAGCTGAGAAATGGAACCCAAGTTCCCCTCTGCCAAGGTGGAAAACCCATGGGACAGCCTAAATTTCATCTATGCAGTATGTTTACTTCCAGCTAACCCTGGGTTATTTCCCATTCAGGGTCTCACCTGTGGTGTCCCAGTTGCTCACACTGGGACAGCACCAGGCATGTACAGGTTGGGAATGTTACTAACCCACCCACTTAGTGGAGATGTGAGCAAAGATTTTTTATTTTGGGGAGGGGGTGTGGGGTGTGGGTGTCAAAATCTTGTGTGCTTCAGTGCCTCAATTGTGCCTTAGTCTTTACAGGTGCCACACTGAGACCTCTGATACAGCCCTAATGTGCTGAGGCTCAACTGCAGCGCTGAGCTGAGGGGAGGAAAAGCAGTCTTTTCACTCACCCAGTGATAGATGTCGCACCCTAAGCTGTTCTTTCAATTAATGTGACATTTGCAGGTAGCAAAATCTCTTCAGTTTAATACAAATCTGTAGTGTAGTGTAAGAATATAAGTAACACTACACTTGTAATACAGACAACTGTCTCTTATGGACTAGCAAAGGAGAATTAGAGGAGGATAGAAATTGTTTCAAGTGGAATGGTTTAGAAGGGAGGTAGTCATGTGCTGTCCTACTTTATCTCTTGTTCTAAGAATATAGTACATGACTGCTTCTAATGCAAAGCGTATCCCCTAGCTCTGCTGCTGCTGCAGGCTTCGAAAGTGCAATTTGCTGTGTCCCAGTTCTGTCAGTCATTGTGCTGGGAGATGTTGGCGCTCTGTCATCCCCGGCTGAGGGTCAGTCCGTGCTGAAACTAATACGGTCTGAAGTATTACACAATTATCCTTTTGTGGTGGTAAAATTGCTGGCTTCTTGGCATTGTAGTCATGCTTTCTGACTGAGCAGCTTAATCACCTGGAAAAATGGGAGGGGAAAAAAGGATCAGGAGAACCTCCAGTCAATTATGACAGAAGGAGGAAAGTCTTTGTTCCTGCAGAATCCCTACAAGTTAAAAATGGCAAAATGTTGTCAATAATGGCACAGAGACATCAGCATGCATCTCCTTTCCCACTTCCTTGAAACGTCATGCCGGAGCAGATCGAAATGCTTATGGTTTTGTGCAATATCCCCAGCTCAGGCCAGCACACAAGTGCCTTTAGGTGTTCCTTTCAGTCTTCTCATGCATCTCTTCTGAACCTGTGAAACAGAGAAAATGTTTTCGGCATCCCTTCCCTTTCTGTCTTCTACACTGCTGTCTTACGCAGTGCGTGGCATAACGCGTTCCCTGCCCTAGAAGCAGGAATTGGTAGGTCTGATATCATTTTATTGCTGGTAGTTAATACAGTCTGTCTCTGTTTTAGTTTATTACTCTTTTAAAAAATACCTATTGAGAAAAATGATGGTAGAATAAATGTCTATTTCCCTTCTTTCATTTCATTAAACATTAATATTTACATAGTATTTTGAGATCCTGTCCTGCAAGTACTATAATTAAGGTAAATTGAGTTTTAGTACCAATACTTAGAATCACAGAATACCCTGAGTTGGAAGGGACCCATGAGGACCACTGAGTCCAACTCCAGCCTCCACATGGGGCAACCTACAAGTGAAACCAGATATCTAAGAGCATTGTACAAATGCTTATTGAACACCAACAGGCTTGGGGCCATGGCCACTTAGCTGGGAGCTTGTCCCAGTGCTTGAGCACCCCCTCGGTGAAGAACACTCTCACTTTCTTTAATTTTTAAATTTTTTCTCTCATTTTTCTTTAATTTTTTCCTTATCTCCCCTTTTCTTTTTTCCCTGTTTCTTTTTCCCTGGTTTCTTTTTTTCCTTGTTTCCTTTTTTTAAATTTCTCCCTCTTCCTTCCCTCTCCCCCCCGTTTTCCTCCCTCCCCCCTTCCCCTCCCTTTTCCTCATTTCTTCCTCCTTTTTCCCTTATTTTTTTCCATTTTTTCCTTCCCCCTTTTTTTTCCCCCTTTCTTTCTCTCTTTCCCCCTTTCTTTCTCTCTTTCCCCCTTTCTTTCTCTCTTTCCCCCTTTCTTTCTCTCTTTCCCCCTTTCTTTCTCTCTTTCCCCCTTTCTTTCTTTCTTTCCCCCTTTCTTTCTCTCTTTCCCCCTTTCTTTCTCTCTTTCCCCCTTTCTTTCTCTCTTTCCCCCTTTCTTTCTCTCTTTCCCCCTTTCTTTCTCTCTTTCCCCCTTTCTTTCTCTCTTTCCCCCTTTCTTTCTCTCTTTCCCCCTTTCTTTCTCTCTTTCCCCCTTTCTTTCTCTCTTTCCCCCTTTCTTTCTCTCTTTCCCCCTTTCTTTCTCTCTTTCCCCCTTTCTTTCTCTCTTTCCCCCTTTCTTTCTCTCTTTCCCCCTTTCTTTCTCTCTTTCCCCCTTTCTTTCTCTCTTTCTTTCTTTCTTTCCCCCTTCCCCCCCCCCCCCTTTTTCTTTTCGTTTCCCCGCTGTCTCCCCGTCAGCCGGTGCCCCCCGGCGCTGGCAGTGGGGGGGCCGCCGGGGCTCCCCAGCGCTCGGAGCCGGGAGGGGGCAGCAGCGCTGCGAGGGGGTGGCCGCCGGGAGACAGACACCCCACCCCGAGAGCTGGAGGCGAGGATAAATCACAGTGAGCAGCGCTTACCTGCTTCTAACTTGGGGTTTACCCACTTGTGGTATCTGGCCTGGAACACCAAGTGCGTTGCTTTGCTCACGCAGCCGAATACGGGTGTCCGCTGCTTTACCGCCTTTGCGCTGGCCTGAGGAATGAAAGGAAATGATGGAGGGGCAAAAGGCTTCTCTCACCAAGCTTGCCGGGTGATCCCGAACTAGCGCTGCCGAGGACCTGATCATAATCGCACAAAGAATGAAAATAAAAACCTCCTGCCACTGTTCCTACACCCCCTGAATGAAATCGCTGCCTATTCCCGGCATTGGGAGATCAGCCCAGCTTGTCTCACGTGTGTGTTTGCAGCAAGAAACAAAATCTGGAGGTTGTCAGCCTGAATCACAAGCAGAGGGGATTCAGCAGGACAGGCCTTCAGTAAGCACTTTTAAGAAATGCAGACACATTTTAGTTTTGTAAGGTGTTGCAGTATGTATATATATATATATATATATACACACACATAGTCATGGAGAGGATGTTGGATACATTCCTTCAGAGGCAACAGCAGTGCTTTTTCAGCAGTGGCATAACAAGAGGAAATGGCTGGGATCAAATTATCTGCTGTTACCTGAAGGCATCCCATCAGTAGGAGAGTTATTTGATGCACTGAAATTCCTCCTCGCTCCTCTGTTCCCCAATGAACCTGTGCACAGCTTCCTCTGGGGATGGGGCCAAGTGTTGCTCTATTAGTATGCAGCACCACAGCCAGCAGGACAGAAAAATACACAACAGGAGGACTGAAAATAGATGAAAAGGAGCAGGAGCAAAGTAAACGCTTTTAAGTTCTGGACTAAAATTTCCCTCCACTGAGATTCTGGTCTGTGGGGTCATGACAAGACCTGCAATATTCAGAGGTGAGGGTGAGGTTGGTTCCACTTACCGAATTCTGTTTTCAAAACAAAAATGAAGCCAAAATTGGGAGGTAGGGAAATTTTCTTTTCATGGATGTAAGAACCCAAGAATCACAAGAGCTGGCACAGAGTGACAACCCTGAAATCCTCTGAAAGTATCCCAATCCATAAAGCTGTTGTGAAAATGATCTTTCTGGTTCTCTGGGTAGTTGCATATCCCTGGTGTTCAGCAGCGTGCTGGGCGCTCCACCCTGCATTGCATTTAATCCCACACCAGCCTTCGGTTCCCAGGCGCGGCCTCACCCCGCATCCCTGCAGCATTTCCATCAGCTGAGGGGCTGTCCCCAGGTTTTCTCCTCCGTGTGCCACTACTGTCCCATCCCTGCCAAACAATAAGGACTCTCTGTTCAACTTATTCTTGCAGCTAGCATCTATACACATTTCTTTGGTTATAAATTCATTAATTTATGTGAAGGACAGCGAAGTGGTTTAGCAGCCAGTTCCTCGGGCAGCGCAGAGAGTCCCTGATTAACACAGACCCAACTTCACCAACGTCCTTCTCACAGCCAGGTGTCCATCCAGCACGCACATTCGTGCGTGTGCGCAGCAAGGCAGTATCATGAATGCAGAGGAGTTTTATTTACACTTTTTTAAGTGTTTTGCTTGCTTATGTATGTTTCTGGTATTTATCAGTGGATATAGCATTTATTTCTGTATATCCCATTCCCATACTGTCAAACAAGTAAACATTCCCAAGTCAACAGTAAAATGTTATAGACTTTTTGAGACAGAGGTGGCAGCAGCATGCAATCATTCCTGTTCCTCTCAGCTGTCAGCCATCAGAGCACCAGCTTCCCTAGGGATTGGTGTGTTGCACAGAGACAGAAAATAGCCATAGATTTTGTTAGACATGTTTGATTTATAGAATATATCCCACAGGGTGCCCTTCAGGATCAGGACTTTCCTCAAGAGTATTCCTTGCATGTGAGCCTTAACCTATGGTGTCACTTTATATGCTTTAGACAGGATTCACTGTAGCAACAAAGCAAAAGATCTGCTAAAAGAGGATGTTAAAAGTATTCAAATCCTTTCCCATCTACCAGAAACAGGGAGTGGTGCATATGTTAAAAAGGCAGCAGGAAAGAGAAGAGTTAATTATTTGAACAACCATGTTAAGTAAGACCTAATTAGTGCTAATCTCTGTTTTTCTTTTTTTGACCCATGAGCAATAAGTGTACACAGAAGAAGAGGTTTCGGGAAGAAAGGTAAGAGAGGTCAGCCTACCATTAATTACATCTTGTTTGGGTGGGTCACTGCAGTTGACCTCATTCAAATCTTTAATTGACATCTTGGTTTAAAATCCAAGATGGCAACACCATACAAGATTTGTGCTCACACAGAGTCATGCTGTCTTCATTAGTCTCTCATTCTTTCTCAAACATGTATTTCATATGCAGCTGAACATTTAAACTCAGCCGTAGCATTGCCTAGAGGTAGAGTGAATCTTGTATTGCCATGTCCTGCCTGATGCCAGGTGCTGCACTTCCACTTCATCCGGAAAATATAAATATGATGTATGCCCCTGTTCCCATCTAATCTGAGGGGAAATGGGATTGTGTGACATCCTTGGGAGCAAGGGAAAATATAAAAAGATGGGTGGTTAGCTAAAAAAAAAAAAAAGGAATAGTGAAACATCTAGAGTGCTGTGAAAATGTTGCCCTGGATGAAGGTTTCCAAGATTATCCTGAAGTGTGGCTGGGCTAAGCGTTGCTGACCTGAGGCATGTGGTGCCGACTGACCCACCTGAGTTTCTGTCCTCCTGTCTTTAGGTTTTTTGCTTTCCAACAGAGAGCTCTGACTGTGGTTGGCAGTGAATTTATTGGCAGATCTTGCCAAAAAACCTCTCAGAAATCCAAATATTTCCCTACAGAGGACAACGGAAGGAGAACGTATTTTTGTGTTAATTTCTCCTGAGGTTGCTCTGAAATTTATGGAAGAAGAGAAAACTGAAGCAATAAGCTTTCCTTTAGGTGCCTCTGGAGGCAATACTGATTCAAACTTAGTTTAATCACCATTCCCGGGTAAACTAATATTCACTAATCCGCTCAAAATTGTTTTTTAAAGAAGATGCACTTATGGGATCCTCTCCCTGAAGACAACGGGGCCCAAGGCACCCTGCACCCAACCACCCTGAGTGAAGAGGTGTAAACTGGAGCTGGCTGGGATCTCAAGATCTTGGAGTCAATGTCCCTTTTCCTCTCGGTCAGGAAAATTTCCTAATTCCCGAGAGTTCCCTCTGCATGGGAAATGAGGCTCTGCATGACTTTGGTTTATGAGCAAGACTGACAGGATAAACCATTGGTAATTTTAGGCCGAAGTTCCCAACTACACTCCGCGCCCACAGCAGAGCCAGGAGAGGGGGCAGTGTGGCTGTTCGCCCCCACGTAAAGATGTTACAGAGCTGCTTTGAGGCGTGATGGATATTTGCAGCTTGCAGGGAGGGGCTGTGGGGCCAGCTGAGAATGACACAAGTGCCATCCCATACTGGCGACACCTTCTTCAACCCCTCATACCAGTTAGGCACCAGCTGTGGTCTTTACTAGGCCAAAGGAGCTCCCCTTTCCCTTTGTACAGCCTATCTCCTACAGAGTGATTGGACTAAATTTAAAAAAAAAAAAAATGTCATCTTCTTGAAGGAATAGTCTCATAGCCTCTTCTGGAAAGTCAGTATTCTTTATTATCTGGTTTCCCAAAGAATTGAGGTTCATGACATGTCTGTCCAGCCATTCCCTTTCTGCCAAAAGTCTTGAACTTTCTGTCAGCTTCAGAGTGAATTTCCTGGAGAGGTGGAAGTTTAGCAGCTTCAGTTCTTTGAGATTTTTGAAAACCATTACCTGAATAGACAAGTAGAGGGGAAACTCAGCAAAGTCTGTTTAACATCTGCTGACCAGCCAAGCATCATTCACATGGCCCCTGTCCAGTCACACCAGTGTAGTGTCCTGGTGGGAAGGTAGAGACAGCGAAGGGGCAGAACATTTTGGTGGGATCTGGAGAGGCGCATGAAGGCCCAGGAAAGTGTTGCACAAGGGGGCACGGGGAACACAAGGAACCAGGCTTTGTTAGTCCTGCTGCTGTTGGAGAAGTAGAAAGGAGATTGCAGATAGGCTCTGAGGATTATCAAAACATTTATACCAAGAAAAACAACTTTATAGTGCTAGGATATAATCTTCTGATGCTCTAGTGTTAATGTTATCAAACCAGATCAGGGCCTAGAGCTCCTAGCAGAGATGAAAGTGCTGATGTGCTTGGTGCTGTATAGACCCTCACCCAGAGGTCCTTCACCCTGCAGGGACGCAGGGGATGGAAACCTCAGCCTAGAGTTCAGATCTTTACTGACTGATTTTGAAATTGTTGTTAATGCATTTATTTCCAGATTCATAAAGAACAAAGCACAATTTTGCACCTAGGCAAATCCAAGGGGACTCCTGAGAAGACCTGAGCTGAAAGAATTGGCCTTTGGAAAGGGTATTGCTATGATCACGGAGTGTTGGGGATATGCCTTTTTTTGTGCAAACCTTAACTTTCCTCTAAGGCAGTCTCAGAGGAGGGAAGAGGGCTATACGTCATTTATTTACAATGCTCTGGTGTTCGTTTCTGCAGGTGTTTGTCAGGGATGCTTTTGGGTGAGAAACTGGCAAAATGTTGAGCTGCTGAACCCTGGGGAGAAGGAACATTTCTATTCTTCTGAATGGAGAGAGTCCCGGCTAGGGACTGAAGGGAAAATGGTGCAGCACAGTAAGGTACATTTCCTGGCTCACTGTGAATTCTGCAGTCATGAGTGTTAGACTTCATCATTACAGGCTGCTTTGCCTCCCCTTAGCTACTGGAGGAGGCTGTGAGGCTGCAAACTTCACCACCACAGCCTGGAAGGCTCTTCCCTGTTTTATTGGTGTCACCTCCAGAATATCTTACCCCATATCTGCCCTGTTAGGGTAGGTGATAAAAGGCTCATCTCCACACGGGCAGGTGGGGGAATGCAAAAAGCATCTTGCCCTGGCTCCTCCCAGGGCTGTGTCTAGCGGGGCATCTCACAGGCTGAGGAGGTCCCTGCCCGGGGGTAGGGGACTCATCCTGGGATGCCAGGGATGAGCATCTTGAGATCACACAAGAGTTTTTATGGGAGGTTCTGGGGAGGAACCAAAGGTGGGGACGGGGAAGGATCGAGGTGATCTGGGAAGGAATGGTTGTGGGAAAATAGAGGGATAAAAGAATAAAAGGGAAAGGTCGTGGGTAACCAGGGCCTGGCCAGGATGCTTGTCTGCTCCTGACCAACACAGTCCATCCTGTTTCCTTGTTAAACTCTTTTTTTTTCCTGGGTGAGGGGCTCCCTGTCAGTGTGTGCGTGTGTAGAGGGTGCAAGTGCCAGCGGCTGGAGTGGGAGCGGGGGTCTGCCAGCAACTGGATTCAGTCTGGGTGTGTGTGTCAGGGCAACTGGAGCCAGCCTGGGTGTGTATGTTAGTGTGTGACAAGGAGCAAATATCGAGCTGAACTAGCTGGCTGGAAGGGTATGTGGCTGGGAACCCAGGTCTGGAAGTGGACGTGAGTCTGGGCTGGGTGTGCGTGTGTCCCCTACATTGGGGAACTGGATGCACTGGTGACCCAAGGGGTCCCAGCCAACGGGGCTCTGGGGTCTGTGGGGTCTGGACTTCTGTGTGTGTGTGTGTGTATCTGCACAGGAGGCAACTGAAGGTGAGAGGATCCTGTGCCAGTTGCTGGTCAGGTGGAGTGTCTGTGGACAGCTACCAGAGGGATCCATGTTGTATTCATACATTTTTTTAATATATATATACACATATGTAAAATATATGTATTTATTTCCCACTAGACCTTCATCCTGATCAGGCTGAAACAGGACGAGGCTGGGGGAATGGAGCTGTGTCATCTTTGTCTCTCTCAGGCTGCCAGATCTGGCAATCCTAACTAAACCACACTGACCCTGCTGGAGGGTGCCTGGAGGGTGCTGAGGCTCCTCACCTTTGGATTTGGGCCAAAATGGCCGTGTCTGAATTGTGTGGCAGGCAGGCTCCACGACAAAACCCTTGTCCCTTGCTCACCCAGAGCAGTGGGCACAGAGAAAATATCCCTCCTGCTGCTCTACGTGCCCAAATCCTTCATCGGTTTCCCTAACCACTTCCCTACTCACTGATGGATGTCCTTGCAGTGCATGTGAGCAGAATATATATCTACAATGAGCATTTTCCTTTACACTTCTGAAATACAAGAATTACCAGTTGTATCAGTAAGTAAAAATAATCAATTTTTTGTCTGGGGTGAATTTTTGTAAATGGTAAAGTGCTCTAGAAATATATTTTCAGATGGAAATTCTGACCCCTTGTTGTTCCTCATCTCAGAAGCCTTTCTCATATAAACCTACAACGAAGTACAGAAGTGCCAGCAATCTGTCTCTGGCAATAAATGAAATTCAGGTTACAAAATCATATATAATTTCTTTCTTCAGAATCATAAGATGATATGATGGGTGATATGATATGATAAGATGATATGGTGGAGCAACTGTAACACACTATGTACTTAAAAGGTGATGTGGAAAAAAAAGTAAAGGTGACTTTGTTCGGGTTATACACTTAATGAAAAATAAATACCAATAAGCTTCCTTTTGTCTGGTTTGATCACATTTTAGATTTCCAGCTGAATTGCTATATATACATTGCTACCAAGGCTGCGGCTAACCACAAGCGTTAACCCAATGTAGCTGAAGCAGAATCTGGCTGTGGGACAGGACAGGCTGAATTTGGAAATGGAGATTGTAACTCACCTCTCCCCACTCCTGCCCCCCGCCCTCTTGAATTAATTGTTGCCCATGTTTATGTAGACAGGCCTCTTTCCCAAAGAAGCAGCAACATGATAGCTTGCAGAAAAATCAGCCTCGTGCTGTTTGAACGTTTATGCTTTTCTTATGCAGTCTCTTGTATCTGTAGTTTGGTGACTTTGACTGGCCAGACACGTAGCTAGGACTACACATGTGCACCGCTGGAGCCCTGCTGAGTAAATAGCCAGGCCAAAGACCCCCTTTCACCAAAATGTGGGAGGGGGCCGAGCGAGCCTGTGGTCAAAACCCCCAGTGTGGTGCAGGCGTGCTGGGGCAGAGGAGCTGCAGGGGCAGGGTGCAGGGCTCTCTCACCCCCTGCCTGCACGTCTCGTGGGCCACGCGTTGCGCTCCTGCGGGCTGCGGCTCGGAACCCTCAAGTCTGGGCGAGTGTTCCTCTGCACAAAGTGTCAGCCCTAAAACCTTCGCAGGGCAGCGATGCTCAGGGGCTGGAGGGCTGGGTACTCGTGGCCAGCTGCACCCTAATGCTGTGCCACCGTCCCTAGGGTCACCCCCATCAGCCTCAGGACAATCGATTTTTTGGTCCCGACTCAGAACAAATACATTGGATTCAACCCCTCACAGGGAGGAGGTACAGCTGACAGCAGGCTGCTCTTGCCAGAGCAATTAACTAAAATTAATTAAATTAATACAGAGCAATGATCATCGCCACTTTCCTGAAGCCTGCCGCTGCATGACCTGTCCGTGGCTGGGATGTCCCTGCTTCCCTTGGGAAAACAGTGTCTGGAAATGCACTGCCCCTGCCAGAGTGACCTGAAATGATGTGCTCATTAGGGGAGAGGAAGGGAAAGATGGCATTTAGAGGAGGCCAGCGCTTAGGTGAAATCTCTCTGGCAGGCTAAAGACCCTAAAGCACCCAGTCCTGAAGCAATGGGAATTTCCTGCAGTGCTTCTGACAGTGGACAGGTTGCTAAACGCTCCCAGCTGTTATCCCTCGTTCTTTTTGCTGTCGTTGTGAATACCTGTGCAACCCGAGGTAGTGACACTGCACCCCTCCAAAGTGCCGCGTTACAGAAGATTGTTGGGGAGGGGGGGGGGGGTGGGAAATAAAACAGGAGTGTGCAAAACGCAGCCCAGCGAGGCAGGGGAGTGTTGCGCAGAGGTAGGAAGGGGCTGGTGGCTTGCTCGAGGCTGGGGCTGGCTGTGCCACAGCCTCCAGGCTGGTGGGTAAGACTGCCGGGAGAGACGCTCGCCCCGTGACCGAATGGCAAGTGGACCCGCGCGACCGCAAGCCTGCGGCGCCTGTTTGTGGGGCGGGTGGGCTTTCTGCCCTGCTTGTGGGCCAGCCGCTGCCGTCTCCACGTGTTGGCTCGACGTGTTTCTCCAGCGTTACCCCTGGGGAGCAAAAATGCAGAAGATTTCATAAAAATGGAAGGGAGGGAGGGAGGGAAAGGAGCAAGGGATGAAACCCACCCTGGCTGGCCGGTTCGGCCCTGCAGCAGAGGCCTGGCCTGAAAAAGGAACCAGCTAAACCCAACCAACTAAAGTCATGAAATTCTCTGTTGCGGCTGAGCCTTTGCTTTTTAAATGTTCGCTGGGCACCTGGGGGGAAGGAGAATGAAGAGAGATGCTGGAGCTGCAGCTGCCTGGCTCTCGGAGGAAGACACTGATCTAAGCATTTTCAATGCAGTTTGTTTGTATTTTCCCTTATGTGACTATATTATGTATACAAGGATGTACACTATATTTTAAGGAAACATATCTCTGAGGAGAATTAGAAAAGCATTTACCTAGCAAATCATGTCTGTTTCAAATCTTTGATATAAGGCAAGGAACCATACATATTTAAACTTGGAAGTAATTTTTCTATGTATGATTAACACAGATTTCTAATGTATATAGTGTTGCTTCTGCTAGCTGCAACCTGCTTTGTAACTTATAAGGGAAATTTCAGTGCTGTCTATTGAACTCTGACAAAGGAAATTTTAGAGGACAAATGAAGGATGCTCTTGAAAACCAGGGCTGTTAATTGGTACTCTATTCTGTATTGATCTCACTCTTCTGCTTCTGAATTTGACTGAAATTCTGTAACCCCAACCCAGGCGGTTTGCCATTAGAGTTTTTGTGTGCATTAACCCAGCAGTATTAAACCCTATGTGGTTCTGATACCCACCTTCTGAAACGCTTCTCATTTTTCCATCAGAGATGCCCATCCAGCAGACTTTCTGCCATTCCACACCCTGCCCTAAAATCACAGAAATTTGCCCATCCAACCGGTCTATTAAAAATTGTCCAGCATTTCCTGAAAAAAACACCCATATGGCTTGCAAAGCATCGCTTAGTCTTTTTGCACTTTTATGTTTCATTCCTCAGAATTGCTGATAGTGTTGTAGGTTCAAGTTTCTCCACATTAATTGCAATGATATTTTTCAGTCTTTTCCTGCCACCCGAGCTGCTGGCTTTCGATCAGAAATCACATGTGTGTTAGAAAGAAGCGAATTGCTGTCAGCTGGCTCCCGTCTGTTTTGCCATGGAGGGAAGGGTGAGGTGCACAACACGGGGCTTCTGCAACTGGGGAGAGAATAGGTATAAGATACATAAGGTATATGAAAGTAAGTGGTAAATAGGGGCTGCAAACCTCGATAACCAAACCCAGGGGCCCCTGTTTATATATTATTGGACTTGAATGGAGTAGAAATTGTTTCTATCCCTGGACTCACTGCTGAGCGGAGACTGACTATGGACTGCCCACCTTCCTGCGCCTCAGTGTCCCCGTATGTGAACTGGAGATAAAGATACCAGACTCTTTTATGAAGTGCTTTGGGACCTGCTGATGGAGAGCAGTAGGCATTGTGTGAACACAAAACGCCTTATTTGTCATGATGTGGCATCTTACACAGTCAGCCCTATGGGCACAGAAATTATTTCTGCAGAGCGAAAAGGTGCTAATATATCTGTAACAAATAGGTGAAGAAGCAGTCAGAGACGAGTAGATATCAGCACTAGCTTGGCTGAAAAGAGGCGTCACACACAGCCTGTTGGAGCACAGCCTGTACCTCAGATAAATTACAGATACAGGGACGTGCAGAGGGGCCATTCAACAGCAACGGCCAAGCCTTTCTGCAGATGAAGGAAGATCCGTGCTGAGGGCTGTCATCTTTCTCCCCTAGGAGGTTTTTGGGTACAAAGATGCCCACGCGTGTGACATAATGCCTCCCCCGGTAACCCCCAGGTTTCTGGAAAGCCGCGAGCAGGTTGTGCCTGTGCCACACAGGTGGGTGTTTGTGTGCTGGGTACATGCAGTGCCAGCAGCAAGCATCGGCCCGACGCTGCGGCCGCACAGCGGTGCCGTGCCCATGCACGGGAAAGGCTGCGCTTGCCGAGCACCCAGTGCGTGCCCAGTCAGCTTCTACTCCCCAGGGAAGCCAAAAATTTCCAGATATAACTCCCACGCAGAAACACCAACTGGTCTGCCAGATGACCTGGTAAGATGATCCTGGATAAAAGTATAAACCTCCCTCAAATGCTGGTTTGGCACCGTGTCCCTGCAAAGGCAACAGAAGACATCCAGGCATCTTATCTGTGTCCTGGCCGTGGCTTCCCTTCTCCTTCTTCACTTATTTGGTCGTTGGTACCCTCTGGGCGCACTTCTTTCCAAGAGGAGGTTGGTTATGTGTGTACAACCTGCCCACCTGTAAAACACACTATTTTGGGCTTCACGGCCAAGGGGTTTTGCCGCATGGATAAACCTGTGGTGGGGCTTTGGGAGACTGCTGGCCTTCACGAGCTTTTCCTCAGTGGGGAGAGCTGAAAGCCCACCACGTTGGAGCAGGGCCACGGCTGGAGGGGCTCATGGTTTCCCCTGGGGGAGCCGATGCAGCCCTTGTGCACCACTGCCAGGCCATCGCCGCCGCTGCCCGGCCCGTCCAGGAAGGGACATGAACCGGGTCCCCTCTTTGCCCCTCGGGAGCCTCTGATGTTGCAAAGAGCTGGGGTTTGGGGTTTGATTTCAGTGGAAAAGGAAGGGGAGCGGTCACCAGGCGCGAGGTTATCGCCAGCTGCTTTGCTCTTCCCCACGCGCAGGTGTTGAGGGGAGCTCAGTGCAGATCAAAGGAAGGGGAATACTGCAGGGAGGGGAGGCTACCAAAATGCTCTGCAGTCCAGCTCACTGGCAGCAAACATTAAACTCGCCTCTTTCCTAGGGGAATTGCAGGGAGTCCAGCTTCATTTGGAAGGGAGGATTGACAGGCCTTGTGCGATGGGGAGTGTGAAAAGTTTCCAGTAAGCAATTAAAGAGGGGTGTGGACTCTCTTAGCATTTTTCCGCGACTATTTGGGTGACTGGAAGAGCTACTTGTGAAACTCTGAAGCAACTGTGAGTTCCTGGAGAGAGACAAGATGCGCCAAACGCTTTGCTTCTGATAAAAACTGTTCTCAGTTTTGCTCCCTGCAGACAAAGTGACCAAATGCCAGACCAGTCATCCAAGTAACTACAGTTCAGTGCTTGTTTTATACTGTCTCTTTTGGGGACCTCTTGTAAACAGATTTTTTTTCAAGATCCCTACTTTCCCTGTCTTGATATTTCTGCTTCTCTGTTCTCTCTTGTCTCTCCCCTTCCCTTGCATCTCTGTGAAGAGCACAGAAATTTCCTCCACATATTGATCAGACGTTCTTGCGCCAGTAATTTCTGTTTTGTCTCAGGCAATCCAGCAGGCTTAGGTGATTAAAAGGTAATTACCTGTACATAGTATATATTACTTCTACGAAGAAGAAGATTTTTCTATGCCAGTATATTGGGTAAGGCAAAGTTCCTCAAACTTTGAAGATGAACTGAATGTAAAAAAATTATCCATTTGAACCAGGCTTTCAGAACTCAGTTGGAGGAGCACAAAACAGTTACAGGCACAGAAACTGGCAAGATCACAGTTTTGCCATGCAAGCTGCAGTTTGATTAATGCGGCAGCTGTTTGACGGGAAATTAGGAGAGAGTTTTGAGAGTCATGAGAGGAAATTAGGCCGTCTTATGCTTTTAAAGCTCTTTAAAACTCAGTGGTATTCCTCCTCCCCTGGAGGTTTATGAGCATGCAGGCAACTTCTGTACTTAATCAAGAAAGCAAGCACAGCACAAAGGCTGAAAATGTTTTCCAGGGGTAGCAGGACTCAATCTTTATGTGTTAACAGATCAGAAATCTTGGTTTCTGGAAATCTTGACCTCAGCATCTTGGTTTGCATAGTCCAAATCCTCAGATGTGTATCTCACTTTCTCCACTGCAGAGGTGTAATTTAGAAGCACTCCACAGCATCAAGGCGCGAACATGGCCTGACTGGCACCTCTGGAAATCTCCTTTACCTCAGAGGGGTCTCTCAGTAGGTTGGACTGTCTGTCCAGAAGGAAAGTTGGTTCCCTCCAGCAGAGAGAAGTAGCCAATGTGCCTGAACTATGTGGAAAAGAAGGTCCCGTGGTATGAATCATCTACTTCCCCTGGTGGGAACAGGGTGGTTCTAATCAATGTGTTACAAAAAAATAGAGAAACCTCTTTCCTGCAAATGATCAACGCAAGCTGGCTGTGCAACACGTCTAATTCAAGAGGAGTAAACTTGGAGTCAGTCAGCAGTGTTGAGGATGCCTTGGAGGCTGCTTAGTGTTAATGAAGGTTTCACTGGGATTTTAAGACTTTAAAACTGTGCTTTTCTACCAGATGTGGGAATGCAAAATTTATGCAGATGCAATAACCATGGCCCAGTGGAGAGGTTTTGGACTGTAACTCAGAAGATAGATCTGGTTTCTGTTTTGAGATGTGCTGACTGTGACATGGGAAAATACTCTGTGCTAGATTTAGGAGAGTTTAATATTTTTGGCAGTCACAAAATCCAGTTTTATCCTTCTGTGCTCCCAACCTTTCCATGCATTTAGCTTTCCAATAGTTGAGTCCCCAGGGTCAAAGCTTTTTAACCTCCAGTCTGGAAACTATTAACGGTCTGTAAGATATCAGGTGATCTGTGGAAACGCCACAATTTAAAAACAAAATTAAATTATCACCAGTGACAATGTGAACAGACAGAATGGAGAAAACACAAGTACTGAACATCCCTAATTGTGTTTGGTTGCAAATAAAAGCTACTGTAGTGACTGCACGAAGTAGCCTTTTGATTTGTTTCTCGAAAGATGCAAGTTGTTCTGGATTTGAGAAGCATCACGTCCAATGCATGGCTTTTTGCTGCTGTCTATGCAGGCAAACATACACACCTCTGACAAGGCTGAGGTGTCCAAACTGGTGTTTCCCAACCTGTTCTGGAGTCAAAGTTCATCTCACCTATTCTGCAGCAAATCTGGAGGTGAGTGGTATTTTCCCTCTGACGCACAAACTCTACTGTTAAGGCGCGTTAGTTCAAGTTGTAAAAGAATCAAACTCAACCCCTCCATCTGCCCCGAGGGAACATGAAATCTCATCTCCCACCTTTCGGGAGGTTGTTCTTGCATTCAGGCTCCCAGCAGCTCCCAGCCTCTCCCTCCCACTGGAGCCCTCCCACCCCCTGTGGGGTATTTCCATCTTTCCGAAGCCAACTACGACCTCGCAGCTCTTGCTTGTGAGGAGGGGAGGCCTGAGGTCTGGTCCTTGCTCACATTAAAAGCTCAGTGTTTTAGTAACACGTTTGCTAACAAGGTTTTAAAGAAAGGCAGAACACTGAAATGGGGAGCCAAGGCAGTATGTAAACTCCTGGAACAACTGCTTGTCGAAGTGATGAACAAGCTTTTTTCACTTGGAGCCTTTATTGCAAGTGAGGAAAGCGTATTTCCTTCATCTCAGTTTCTTCATTTCAGCTTGTTCATTAGAAATAAGAAATTGATTACAGGTTAAGAAAGCTGGATTTTTTTTTTTTTTCCTACCCATCAGTCTATGAATAAACTGAAACACCAGGGCTGAGATCTACTCATTCCAGGCTGCATAAGCACTGGCTAACAGTTATTTCATGAACATCAGTTTTCTTTCTTTAATAATTCTGTTAACTTTAAACATAAAATGTGTTTTGCTACCATCTTCTTTCACATCCAAATCATTTAATGTGACTTTATTTGATAATGAAAACCAATGCTGCCTTTTTGTATGTTATTATAACCTAATTTCTATCCAAAGGCAATTCAACATAACTCCTAAGAAAAAGATTGAATTACCTAGTAAATACACAATATAATTTGCCATTTTCTAATATAATAAAGGGTAAGCATTAAGCATCTGAATAAAAATTTCAGTTGTTTAAGTATTTGAATTTATATATATCACATTCTGATTTAGCAAAACGAGAAAGTATGAGATACAGCAAAAGGTTTCAGGTGCTGTGGAAGAAATCTCAGTGGTTACCAACTACTAGGCATCAACTGTGCTTTGAAAAAATGATTAAATACAAATGCAAAATGGGAATAAAACCTGATAACTTTAACCAAGGTCATTTGCTTTCTCTCTTAAGTGACAATTAAAATAGATTGTTTAAATCCCACGCATATGAATTGCTCCACCCAGCTCATTTTTCACAACAGGAGGTAGCGAGTTCTCATGCCTCTGTGCTCATGGAAGAGGGGAGGAAGGAGGCACGCTGCTAACCCTGTTGCTGCTGGCTGCCATTCCGGTTCACCTCTGCTCACTCCCTCACACAGGGCTTACAGCAAATGTACTTTTTGCCTCACGTTTCTCCATACTGCCTTTCTGAGGACCAAGGCATTTGTGTTTTCCCCATGCCAAAGACCCATCTCTCTACCCTTGCCTCATCCCATTTATGTTCCCTGCAGATCTCTCGTGATGGAGCGATGACTCTGAAACCATCAGGTAGGTCTGGCCAATTTCCATGGAGTGGCAAGTCGCAACCCATGAGGTTTCTAGGGCACATGGGGAACTGGGACCTACTGTGTCTGGAGGGAGAAAACCAGCGAGCTGGAGTTTGGCATCCTGGGAAGTCAGGAGATTAAAAGTGAAGCAGCCTCGATGCGTTGTCTCAGCGCAGGGAAGGAGATGCTACTTACTACGGTGCTTGTTACCTGGGACTCGTCTGCTCCTTCCCTCCTTTCTGTCTGACTCTCAGAGTTCCTCCAGCATTACACGTCCTGCCCACGTTTCTGTGCTAAACCGGCCCAGCCCAAATGCAGCGTAACCCCCCTGGATGCCTGTGGGAGAGTTTCAAAATCCCACCACGCCACTGACTGCAGTTACACCTTATTCCAGAAATAGGAAGGACTTGAGCCCTGCAGCATTTCCAAGGGCAGCCCAGTCCTTCTGCTGGGATGCTGCTGTGTGTGCAGGTCACCAAATTCCCTGCGCCCAGCTGTTGCTTCTGAATTATTCCGAGACTGTTTAGTGTTGCTTTTGCATTGTTGGTTTGTTTGGGTTTTTTTATTCAAAATAAACATGCTGAGTGCAGCACAGTGGCAGCCATCAATATTCAGATCAAATACCACTGCATGATGCACTGCCCGGGGGATAAAGAGAAATAGGAGATGACATTGGGGGCTGTTAAAACTTGTTAGCTACTGGTTAGCTCTACTGCAAGTCTGATGTGGGGGAACTGATTCAGGGCAGGTTTGTCTGCCTTGACTGAAAGGCGTAACTGCAGG